TTTACCTCCCGTCAATCGGGGCATTATAATAATAGGCCGGACCCAAAATAGGGGAGGGCATTTTTTCTGCCTTCCCCTATTTTTCAAATCCATTTCAACATTTTATTGACCGTGGTCCATGACAAAATGTTTCCTCCATAAACCTGCTTTACATTTTTACCACTACGAACGTAAAACACAATGTTAAAACGCTACTAATTAAGATCATTTTCTTCTTCTTTTTTTCACGAACGCCAGGAATATCCTATTTACCTCAATTCCCGATAGCGCCGAAGCGACCTCGTGCCCTCTAGGACAAAACTACTTATTTTCACTGGAGCGTTATTTTATAATATCACTGAACTATCACGATATAGATATGATATAAATATGTACACTGCCGTACAAATACAAGTCCTCGATTAGTGTTATCGATAGCCTAAGAAACACGGGGCGCGTGGCGAGGGGCCTCCATGCATCTCGCTATCGCTCGCAGCCAGCAGGATTGCCGCATCGTCCGATAAGGACGTCGCAGAACAAATCACGAAGAGAGAAGCGTGGTCCTAGTAGCCAACGCATTTCATGAGCCGTCAGCGACCTTAGTGTAGACGAATTAACGCTTCACCACTACGAGAGAAGGGCCCATTGACCACGTCGTCCTGCCCGCCGCTTGACAGACACCGGACCGAGCAGATTTTCCCGGGGAGGGGATAAGTTGCTTTCTAGAGTCGACGACAACCGAAGCATCCCGGTAAGTCGTCGTCGCCCTCCGAGTGGAGTCCACAGGGTCCAGTTTCGAGTCGTTCGGACGCAAAGCCCCCCGGCAAAACAAACACACACACACACACAGAACTACACAAAACAAAGACCTCAGGAGGCTAAGAATATCAAAACGAAAAATGTCCACGAAAGCCCGGCGAGAGAGGAGGAGTGGGAGGAGGCAACTGAGGTTCAGTCGGGAGGCACCCGAGCGATCCTCCCGGTCGCCCGGAAGCCCCCGACGCGATGGAACAACCGAAGCGAGACCAATCCCCCCAGACGTCCCGTGGCTTGATCGGATGTCACCAAGACGCCCAGAACAAAGAAGACCGAGCACCGACCCCCCAAAACAGCAGGAACAAACAGACCCTGGGTGGGTGGAGATAGCGTCGACAAAGAGGCCCCCAGCGCCGTAATGACCTGCCACTGAGAATGAGGAAGGCGGGGGAGACCATTGGTTCTAAGATGCGATACAACTGGTTTCCTCGGGATGTCTTCTGCAGGGAACGTCCTCGCTGTTTTTGTTTTTCTTGCACTGGGACTTCAGTCTGCTTCTCGGTGTTGTTGTTTGTGCGTTTCGGACGTATGAACTTGGTCATGTCTTATTGACGACGAGGACAATCAGGCCAGGCGGCTTAGGACTCGTCCGCGACTTACGTCATCGGTGACGGCCCGGCTATCCTCGACAACTCTATCTTCTGAGGTTTGCCGTCTGCTTACCATATAAAGTCCGAGGGCTGGATTGGCTGCTACGTCCGTTGATGTGCACGGTGTACGAAAGCGGTTCTTGGTGGGCGCCCTTGTAGGGTCTCCGGCGCGCCAAATGTCATTACATTTTTTTGTATATGTATCGTCTTAATTAGCAATTAGTGCGGGCTTTGGACGAGTCGCAGAAAGGCAATTGGGGTGTGTGTATTTTTATACAGCCCAGGCACGTAGCAAGGATTTTGTTTTTGGGAGGGGGGGGGGGGCGCTCATGACAAAATGCTGTATGAGGGGGAGAGGAGGCCGCAGCAAAATGGAAGATTGCGGGGGGGGGGGGGGGGGGGCGGGCCCCATGGGCCCCCCCTGGCTACGTGCCTGGTGCAGCCTGAACTTGGTCTGCCTCAACGGGCGACTTGTCTCTCAGCTGTAGATGAGAAATTTATCCCATGCAGTACAACCGCTAGTCTGTTATCTTTAACGTGCACCACACAGTGGTGATTCACGACCGCACGCCGGTACGATGGTCATCCAGATCGGAACGGGCGGGGGTGGGAACTGAACGTAGAAAGGCAATAAAAGGGTTAATCACGGCAGTTTGTGCATGAAAACACACACGTACCGGACAGTGTTCGCGGAGAGTGTTTCGTACGATGTTGGACGACGAGAACAGAAAAACAGAAGGGCGGAGTACAACGAAACAGATACCTTCTAACAAACAATCTACAAAAAAACAAAAAAAAAAAAAGTTATTTCTGATTTCTGGTAAGCATTCGCTGAATGCTGCGTATTCCGGTGCCATTTTCTTATCACTCCCCCTGCTAGTGGCGCGCTGACCTTCCAAAGTCACATAGAGGTTTTACCGTCGTGAATCATAATGATGAAATTAAAAAGATGGCAAGGGGCAGCACAACACAGACACCTTGTGTTATGCTGTCAATTCCCGCCATAAGTCCTAGGATTTTCAAGCATGTCAATATAAGGTCCAACCCCGCGTGTCCGTGCCCAATATCCATTCTCTGTTCGTGGTATGACGCGACCAATGACGGGCACTCAATTTCAGCAGTAAAGCAACAATGTTAACCGTGACCCCGAGAGAAATATCCAAAGTGGACAATCTAATGGCGCCATTACGCAGCGTCCTACACAAGCAAAAGCAAACGTCTTCGAAAGCGTAGGGCAGAAAGCCGGGAATTGATTATAACAAGCTGGTCCTTGTACGTCGCCTTCGATTCACGATGGCTCGAAGTTAGCCGATATTGTCCTCCTTTCACTGCCATTAGTCCGGAGACACTGGAGTTTTTGAGACTGCCACTTTATAGAGGGCTCCGACCTTTGAAAATAAGTGTCCATACTTTCCACTTTGGTGAAGAAGAAAGAACAGCTGAGCTGTAGCTTCTTTTCTTGGCGGTGGCTTTCCAGGCAAGCGATCTGCTCTTCTTTCGCAAGGGAAACTGCAGCGCTCGACGCAGTGGAACTTTGGGCGATAGCGGCCTCGCGGCGGTTACGAAACCATTCGCGTTGCTGCGCACTTCGCCGCTCATTCCGTTCCCGCTCTTCTTCCCCCGAAGAAATGTTGCCGCGATCTGTGAGCGACGGCGGCAAGCGGACAACCGGCAAACACAACACTCTGGACAGCTACCGCCATCTATGAGCGACGGCGGAAACCGGAGTTTTGCGTCGACATTTCTTTGCGGGCGACACAATCCTGGGGAAACTAGCCCTCAACAGCTTCGCTGTAAAAGTGTCCATTGTAGGAACCAGCATTTACTGCCTTTCCCAGACCTGCTTCGGGGTTTAACTCGCGTGATTTGGAACATTTAATTGTCCTCTTGTTGTCAGTAAAAGTTTAGAGAAAAGCATATAAAACAATTGTTGTGCGTAATCGGTTACAAGTAACGAAATTACTTCTAGTCCGTTACATTTATCGGTAATTTTGTAAGGGAACATATACATATTTTACAAATTGTAAAGTATTTTCCCTACTTATTTAGGTAAGGGAATGATAGTTAATCTATTACATTTTCGTTTTCATTCACGGAGGAGAAAACGCAAATTAAAAAAAAAAAAAAACCTTTTCTAAAATAGCCTTTTAATATAGAAAAAAACTGACTCTCGGCGCAAAGAACATTAGGCAAGCTCTCAACGTCAAAATGTTTACTTCTAAATTGTAAACAATAAAAGATAAGATTTGTTGAAAGCGCGCGTGTTCTTTTCGTCTTTTGGAAAAACGAATGTTTATTTGATTCTCTGCTTTTTTTCACCTATTATTCTAAAAGCTCCAGGTTGCCCACATCCCCATCATCCTTTTCGCGCGTCAGTTTTTTGTGACCTAGATAAAAATTGTAATGTGTTTTCGTTGTTGTTTTTTTTTTTGTTGTTGTGTGTGTGTTTGAATGCGTACTTTGTCGATTCATAGATTGCGTTGTTTTTATAGTCTCCTCAAACCAACTAATAAGAAGAAAGGACAAATAGCTGACGTTAGCCTTTTTAGTTGTTTTAAAAGGATACTTCAACGAAATTTGAAATATTCCCGTCGTGTTCAAAAATAGGTTGAATATGATCCACAATATCCGTAAATGACAATCGCACGTTTGTATTTTGATCCTGGTGGCTGTAGTTTTCGTTATAAACGGCCCACTCTGGCAATCGCTCGGAGAAGGCCCAGCTTAGAGCACGTGACATCCAACGCAATCGTGACGTAGGTCGTCTCAAGACAAGCAAAGCTACGGCGAGGCTGACGTTGAGAGGATGGCCTAGTCGTTCCAGCCACGGAAGCGGCTGCTTTTGTACGAATTTTGAGTGACGGGTTAATCTTCTATAATCTTCTAGGGGGACAATAGCGACTTCTGCGACACACAAAAGGGATTCTCGGGAAGAGGGGAGTTCCTCCTTCCCCTTTCTCTCATCGTGGCCGGAGACGAGACAACCTCCGTCACTAGCTGTCAAGGTTCCTAGACGAGCATTACCAACGAGGCGTTAGCGACATCCACCAGGTGCTTCTTGCTAATCGTTTAATTCGTTTTAAAATTCCTTCTCGAGACTTCTTTTAACAAGATATTGGTATGTTCCGTGTGATACTGCTCTTTTTTGAACACATATAGACCAAAAAATGAGCGCCGAAATTTCGTTGTAGTATCCCTTTAAGTAACACAGTACTAAATAGTTTATTCCCGACTTAACTGTCGTTGGCTGTCGCAGTGGAGGAACGCTGCGCTGCCATTGGCGCACCTGACATCCAGCTAAAGAACACTGAGCTGTGGCAAGGCCTGCGGCCGACCCGCGCTACACACGTTTTGGACTGCATATTGTTATTCTTTTTTTTTCTTTTCACCCTAGTACGTAAAGTTGAAGTAACGCCGCGAAAGTAACGGATTACGTACGTTTTGAAGTACCGGTCACTTAATTTTAGGGAAGAGTAATTGTAACAGCAATGAGTTACAATTTAGCCTTGGGTAATTGTAAATTTAATTCCTTACTTTCTTTTTTTAGTTGCGTGTACAAGTCTGTATAAAAATACTAAAATGCAAACGCCATCCCCTCACCACAAAAACCCAAAATGACCGAGACACATATTCGGTTTATTTGGCTGTCGAGTCGGAGCACGACGCTACCACTTGGGGATGCCGGCGACAATATCCTCTTCGATTCCACACTCATTGGAACCACGTAGGATCTTGAAATATCCTGAAAAAGAAAAAAAAAAAGTTAAAGGAATAGGTATTAAAGGAATACTTCAAGGAAATTTGAAATATACCCGTCGTGTTCAGAAATAGGCTGAATACGATCCACAATATCCGTAAATGACAATCGCACATTGGTATTTTGTGCCTGATGGCTGCATTTTTCGTTATGAACGGCACACTCTGGCAAGCACTAGGAGAGCACGTGACATCCGCCGCAATCGTGAAGTAGATTGTCTCGGGACGAGCAAGGCTGTGGCGAGGCTGACGTCGAGAGGATGTCCTGTTCCAGCCATCAAGTGGCCGAAGCACGCCAGCGATCGGGCCACCGCAACTAACCCCAAATCTTCTTTTGTACGAATTCTGAGTGACGGGTAAGCGCTGATATTTGTGTTGTTTTGTGTTGTATTTTAATTTCAGACGAAAACGTTTAGGGGGCTAGGGTAAAAGAAAACATGCTTGTCTTGACAGGACCCCAGCCACTTTAGTGATCGTCAATTTCGAAAGGTTCACCTTACACGGCAGTGGCAGACAACTGTAGTCACCGCAACAGCTATACGGGGTGCGTGTCTTATCACCTTCGTACTTTTGACTTCCGGATTCGTTGTTCGGCGCAATGTCATAGCTCTGAGAGTATTTTGAACGGCTCAGGGGTGAAACTCCTAGTAAAATAGAAAGCCTTTTACAACTCCCTGTAACGCCGAATTAGAGCGCAGCTCTTGAGGAGGAGGAGGGAAGGGTACTCAGGGTCACGTGTTCTCGGGGGGGAGGGGGTCACGTGACCTAAGGGGGTCGCGTGACTTTAGGGGGTCACGTGACCTCAGGGGGTCGCGTGACCTCGGGGGAGTCACGTGACCTTAGTCACCCCGAAGGTCACGTGACCCCCTTGAGGGTCACATGACCCCCCAAAGTCACGTGACCCTCAGGAAGAAAGAAGAAGGCCGGGGAGGAGGAAGCACACTAAACGCCAATGAGAGGAGGAGGTTTGCCCCTCTTCTCTCCAGCATTCCGTCTGCTTCCGCCTCCCCGATCTTCCTTTCCCTCGCCCTACTTTCTTGAGCTGCAACGGACTATAGAATAATCAAAGCCTGTCCACTAGAACTTTGACGTCGTCACAGTGGGATGAAACGGGGAACACAGATTGGAAACGAGTGCTGTGTCAGCAAACGGTTGGACCTCATGTCCGATCAATGCATGGGAGCATGTTGGAACCTTAAAAACTCTACTAATGACACTTCATTTCTAGCTTATGTAGTTTTGGAATCTCACATTCTCTGGTGTTGCTTGTTCCGCCATCATGCATGTGAATTGTTTCTGACCACAATGAGCACGTGACTTTTGAAAGCGTATTATTCGTACCTCCAAGTATTTTTTTTTTCCTTTGGAATATGATTGAGGCATGCTTAAATGTTTATGCGAACCGATCATTTGTACACTAAGGCAATATAAACATCGCGCCGGACGCATTGAAGGGGGAAAACAAACGTTGCAGAGCCATCACTGCGGCGCCCACCTTTGTCGCCCCACTCGGTGTTCCAGGAGTTCGCCACCAGCCAGTAGGGGACTTCGTTTTCCACTCCCCAGCCCAGGATGCGGATGGCGTGACCTCCCAGGGCGTCGGTCGAGTGGCTCTTGTACACGCCTGACGAAAGACGACGGTTTAAGGTTGCCAGATTATCGAAAGTGTACGCCAGCAGGCTGTTTACGGACAGGCCCGCGTTCGCCCACAACGGGTGCGGTGCTGGAACACTTATTAAAGGCTCTCTATCTTGGGAAAAGTGGCGCCATTCAGTGTTGTAGAAATGCTTGAGCCACGAGCCGCGCGCCCCTTCTGGGAAGAACATGGCGTCTGAAGTCTAGCTCAGTGCTGCGCTGTGCCGTCATTAATCTTTCCAGGAGCTGCACGTTGCGCGTGCCTCGTGCATCGACGAACCTTGCGCTACTTTTTAAGCATGAAGGGGCTTTAAGGGGTATTCACACGAGGGAGAAATCCCGGGGATTTCTCTCCGGCACGTGCATCCCACGACGAAAACGTCAGGCTTTGCGATGTGCAAAAGCCTCGCGTTTTTTTTCTCGTGATGCGCGCGTGCCGGGGAGAAATCCCCGGGATATCTCCCTCGGGTGAATACCCCTTTAGGAACACTCGCTGCACGAGCGCTCGTGCGGCAGCCGAGGCTTCGTTCAAAACGACTAGCTCGAGCTTTTAGCATGCGCGGCTAGCAATAGTCTGTACTAATGTGAAACGAAGTATAGGGAGTATTCACTGGACGCCATATTTGTGGGTGATGTATAGAGCGCATGCTGAGAACGAGCTCACATCAATAGGCTGCTAAGACCGGCACTCTTGATGGTGCGGAATGGACGTTGCAAAGGAACTGAGAAAGCTCGCCATCGGCACGCGCTCAGCATTCGCGCACACAACTATGGCCGCCAGTAAATATTCCCTATAGTATTTATTTTCCAGACCGGAGAAAGCTATTTTGCCTTTACCATCATAAAATTCACTTCAATTGCCGAGTTAAAAAGAACCCTCCTCTTTCTCCCTTTCTCTCTCTCTCCCCATTGCCCCACCCTCCCTTGATAGAATATCATCCCGCCTAAAAATGTTTATCCAGTTAAACGAATCTCCGGTAAAATTGATGCAGTTAACGAATCCTCCCTTCCTCATGCCATCACTGAATTGAACCAGCTGCCATCCTCCACCGTTAGCGTCACTGATGCAGCAGTGATTTGTAGTATCTACTAGCCTGAACACAAATGTGACCTATAGACAAACTCAACTCACTGACGTCACACCGCTGCGGTGGCGCTGCAGTCGGTACTGCGCATGCGCAGATGTTTCACTCCTTCCGAATTTGGTTTCTACGCTAGCGCAGTGCCTACACCTGGTGTGGGCAAAGCGTGCTTGTTTGGAAACAGTGGGTTTGCGTATACAACTGTGTCTCAAACGCACCTTCAACTAGCCCCCCTCAATACCCCCCTTTTCTTTTTATAGCCCACTGTAGTACTATACTTGAGGAACTTTAGGTACTATGATGATCGGAACCCGTCTCCCACCGCGTTGTGATTACCGCGTCTCAATTTTCGTCCTCTCGATTTCTGTCTCGTGACGTCACAGCTGACGCATTTAGATTGAGTCGCCGGTCGTAATCCTGGCAGTGAGCCCAAAAAACGAGCTGAATGCGGCAGGCTCTGTTTTACTGTAGTTCGCTTTCCAGCCGGCCAGTTGACGGAAGCTAAATCAGCCACGGGTCGGAGACGGTTGGCACGCAGCAACGACGCTTGCAACCGTTTAACTTTCTTTTGCCAGCGATTCTACAATCAACCGCAAGAATCGCAACAAACGACTAAATCTGACGCTGGATCCTGCCGAAGATGCGTTGCAGGCATCGTTCTACGAATACCAGCGCACATTTTGATACGCCGGTTACACTCGAGGTAAATTAGATTGCTCAGTTTCCCAAGATTGATGTTGATTGTTTTTCTAAAAAAAAAAGTGAAAGTTAAAATTTGCTTTATTGAAGCGGGGTCCATAGCTTACATAACTTGCGGGACTGTCCTCGGTTAAGATGAAAAAAAGATTAAGGCTTCTTTTTGGGGCGGCCAGTTGGTGGAGATTAGTGGCCAGGACTGCATCGCGCGTGCTCTCAACAACAATCCATAAATTGTAATCAAGTTTTTATACGAACGATTGTGGAAAAAGGATAACCAGATCATATACTCGAACACATATCTTTATTATCAGTGCATTGTATAAAGAACCTAAATGGATTAATTTAAAAAGGGCGAAATCCAGCGAACATTTCTCTCAAACGTTTTACAAAACACAACCCCCCTCCCCCACCCCCTTAAAAAAAAAAGGTTTATTTATTTATAAATATATTCCCTCGGGGCCCAAAGGAATTATAGAGGGGAGTTGACATACACTCCTAATTGCACACAAGTATAAACAGTAATAAGTTATGTAAGCATAAAATCCAAACAGAACATTGTTAATCGAAACAAAACTTTGTTAACCGAACCTAAAAATATATTCGCCAGGTGTCGCTTTGAATACGGCGCTATCGGCTATGCTGGCAATAGGTGCGGGAAGGCGATTCCAGTTCAGCGATGTCATGGGTATGAAACACCGATAAAAGTGTGAGGTGCGACAGTGGGGGATGCCAACTTTATTTGGATGATCAACACGCGATGAGGCGTAAAATGGTTGTGTTAATATATGCTGACGAAGGCTTTGAGTATCGTGGTAGATCTTATGAAATAAACACAGGCGATATATTTTCCTTTGGAGCGAGCGCTGAGGCAAGCTTAGCGTGGTTTTCATTGCTGTTACACTGGATGTGCGATAATAGTTATGTAGTATGAATCGAGCAGAACGGTTTTGAGCAGTTTGATGCAGGCGTTTCGCTGGGGTCCCAGATAGCGGAAGAATACTCAAGTTTACTGCGGACCAATGTTTTGTACATTACTTTTAAGGACAGTGGGGCTAATCGAAAGTTCCTTTTCACGAAGCCTAACGTGCGGTTAGCATTTTTAATGGTATATTCAATGTGAATGTTCCATGAGGGGTTGTTAGCGATATGAACAGCAAGATATTTATATGAAGGAAGAGATTCCAGTGCTACAGTTTTTATATGGTACAAGAGACAGGTGTCATTTAGTTCCATTTGCCATTGTTCACACCAGCAGGAAACACTGTCAAGGTCAGATTTGAGTGAAAGAACATCAGAATCGTTAGTTACTTTATTTGATGTGACGTCGTATGCAGAACGAATTTCAACAGTCTTGTAAGTTCTGCTTATGTGGAGAATCAGGTGGTACTGTGAGCCTGCAAACATATGTTTACGTGGACACTCCACGCGCTTGTAGAACTGGGGCACCAAGTTGGGACGCCAGCCTACAATTTCTGTCGCACTAGGGAGTTTTACCGCGCATGCGCTGTGCAACGCCCCAAGCTGCTTGGGGTACCCCGTGCTTCTAACGCCTGGTTTAGACAGTTGCGTTTGACTTCGTTTGACTGCGTTTCTGCTGCAAGAAACCAGGACATTATTGCTGCTTATATCGCGTGCCAAGATGATCCCTTGAATTGGATTCAACGCTTCATATAAAGCACAGATTTGCCGGTGACTAGTTTTCGCTTTTCGACGCAACGCAGCAAAACGCAAGTGTCTGAACTAGTCTGAACCGGCCCTAATTCTCTGTATTCATGAAGATGCGTAGAGCGCGCGCCCACATAGCTCGATAAGTAGCGGTGCGCGAATAGTGGTTCAAATCAAATAGCTCTGCGTCATCCGTAATCTTCAATGTGCAAGCGAAAGCGGCGGCAACTTACTGCCTTCCCAGTGTCGAAGCTGTAGGAATGAGACCGCGCTATTCGATTCGATCCACTATAATCACATCTCTATTGATAAGCGTTCAAAGAGGAAAGTCAAGTCACCACCATGAAAGTTTTGATGTGCCGTAAAACCACAACCACGGGGAGCACAGAAAGCCCATAAACAAATGCAAAATTAAACGCTATTAAAACAAATAAAAAAAGACTCCAGCCCAACAGGTAATTGAGCAACCGAAAAGAAGAAGCAAGATCAAGCTGCTAACCACTCTGGAAAAACTTGCAGAAGGCGCAAAAAATGAAGACGTCAAGTTCGCTCCGAGACTCCCTCCTTGCACTGACAGTACAGGGAAGGAGGGGCTTCTGCACTATTGCGGTATATATTTTATTGCTAATTGGCATATCGCATCAAAAAATCATTTCGATATTCGTGATAGTGAAGGGTCAGTAAAAACGGTTCAAGTGTTCTTTTTTTTTCTTTTCATATACAAGATGACTTTAGTTTCTTCGTTCTTTTTAAGAAAGCTGAACTTCATCAAATAAGATAAACTGTTTTTTTGTATCCTGCTTCTGGAGTCTGGAGAACAAACAACGCCATCGCGGTCTTGACTGAGCCTAAACTGAAAATAAGAAAAGAGCAACGAATTTTTTGAGGCAAACCAATTCGCTTGGAGTAGCGCAAACTTCAACGAGACAACACAGCGAGCAAGGTCAGACATGCAAGCGAAGACCTGGCCATCAAACTTCAGTCAATAATGAAGGCCTTAGCTCGGTTTTTATTTTGAAGCGCACCTCCAAACAAATAGAACGGAATCCTCGGAGATCACAACCATGTCATTCGCACAAAACAGGTACCAGCTCTACAGCAACTTAAAAGCACGGCGAACTTTCTAAAACCTACGAACTTAGACAAACAAACAAGCAAAGCGCTGGCCGAACAACACTTCTAGAAAGATGACCACGGGACTACAGCAAAATCGCCACATGCAAAAAAAAAAAAAAAAAAAACGACACGCTTTAAGAACGACAATAAGGTCCACGAACAGTTAGTTCTTTTACGTCAGTACGTTGTTGACCGGCAATGTCGGGATGGTCTCACTCATTGCTCAGTAGCTCCCTCAGCAGACAACGGCGCGGGCTTGGACCATTTCTCGCGGCCAAAGCCTTCGTCGTAGTTGCCTTTGATCAGGAATAGCTGCTTGTAGTGCGGCCCGCAGAACAGTTTCCCGCAACTGACGGTGTAGTTGCCGAGCCTGAGGTTGCAGCGGCAGTGGCTGCATCGGAAGCAGTTCTTGTGCATCGCCAAGCCGTTCACTTCCATCCGCTCCATTGGGTAAAGCGTCTTGCTGCAGCTGCTGCAGGCGTCCGTTGCCGGCGTACCTGGAAACTTGCTGAGACCCTTGGCCTTAGCCGGTGCCGCATCGCCGTCCTTGGTGGCCTCAGACATGGCCTTCGGGCAGCTTGGCACTGGCAGTATCCGCCGGTGACAGCGCGCGCTTCGTCGTTCAGGCAAGTCCCCGCGGAAATTTTGTTGCTCGACGCGTTCCAATTCCCACCGCGCACACGCTGATTGCCCAGTCGACCTCTGTTAAATATAACAGCGGCTCCCTGTACTGAAGGCATCCCTCCTCTCCCCAAACCGCGGTTTCCTCCTCTCCATCGGATGGGACCCTCCTCTCCCGGCAGCTGCGCCCTTGCTTCCTGCTGCCAGCTGATCATCCGGTTGCACTTGGCACTGGCCTATCTCTGCGCGCACCTGGGCACGTCGCACACGAGCCGCACAACGCTCTAAGAGGGGCATCGACGTTCTTCGGATCACGCGAATCTCTGGCAATCTCGAGACGTAGGTTTCGATTATTAGCTGTCCTTGGATTGAATCTTCATCTTAGCTGGTCCATGGCAACTCTGAGGTTGTGATGTCCCTCATGTGATGTCCCTCAGGCACTGCTCACGCATCATGCAAACGACGCGGAGTTTCTCTGCGGGCATAATGACAGAATAATCTTCAGACATGCCTAAAGCATCTTCGAAGCGTGCTCGTTCATACATAAGTATGTTTCCAACATGGCTGCAGATAGTTGTTGCATGACTAATGTTACAGGGCCATCCTACATTCTTTGGATCGTGCCAATCGCCGGCATCTCGGGACGTAGTTTTTGACTATTAGCTTATTCCGTATACTCGATCTTCTGCCTTAGCGCAGGGTTCATGCAGTTTTGTTGTTTCGTGTGTTCAGTGTGATGTCTCCCTCAATCACCGTCACTGCTCTCTCTCTCTCTCTCTCTCTCTGCCGGTCAGATGGGTATTGAGGTGCAGTCAGGCAAGAAGTTAAAAGTGAGTTTTAGTATGGCGTGTGTGCGAGCGAACGCGAGCACTGCGCGTTTGCGTTAGCGTTCCGTGTTCCACACTGCGCATGCGTGGAACCAAAACTGCGGTCTTAGTGTTGCCGAGCCATAGTCAAAAAATAAATGTGTGTTCCGTGCCAAATCGCATTTGTTTTGGTGTGTATATTGCGCAGTGACAATGTGCATTTCTGCAATTATAGATATACGACCTGCGACACCTCTTAACGTTTTCAAAAACGTCTCCACCAATTACGTCACCAAAGAAAGAAGCGAGGAGGGGCTCTAATTGAGGGAGGAGTACATAAACTTTAACAAACACTTTCGCGGGCCATTCTTTTCATTCTTTTTTTTTTTTTTGCTATGTTTTTAACGCATTTTTGAAGCGTCCGAGACAGTTAAAAACAAATCATGGGGTTGTCAGCGGCCCCTTAAAATTACCTCAGCTCGGTTGTTTTGCCAAAAGCCTGCCAGCAGATCAAATATCTTTCACGATCCATGGTAGCAGTTAGAGCCATGTAAATAAGCTATGCTTCAGGGTAGCGGCCCTTGAACCATCTTGCTGCTGATTTTTTTTTTTTTTTTTTTTTTAGTTGAAAGAGAGAAAAACGGTTTTCCCTCTTCCACAAATGTGAAGCCTAGACAGCATGAACTTCCTGCCACAGTATCTCGAGGTCAGGAAGAGGCACCAACTTTTGAGGTCAAAAAGAGGCACCAACTCGTGATTGGACCTGACGGCCTCTAGCTTTGGCTGTAGTCTGTCGCAGGTTTAGATAAAATCAACGATATGCTCGCTTGTTGGTGTGCGCGTGAGCACATGACATGCGCTTATCGGTATACGTTCATGGGGTATCAAAAACTTTGTTCTTTTTAACCTTCAGTCCAAGCGCTATCAACGCTGAGCCAATCAATCAAGCTTCTCGGAAAGCGCTAGATCATGGTATTTCTTGTCCTTTAGTTCCGTTACCGCCAACTGATTCAATCAAGCGCAGAGAATACCACGTGACGTTACTTTTTTAGTCTGCAACGATGAGGCACGCTCGACGTGCAACATTGGCTAACTGTCGCTGTATACCAAATCTTACCCAAATGGATCCGAGTTACTCCGACGGGCCGCGTCACGTGACAACACGCATTGGAAAACGCTGGACGCGGGTAGGTTTTAGAACGCCAAGGTACAAAACCCTTACCCTGAAGTAAGATCGAGTAGATTTGGGAACACAGCTATACTTCGTCTCACCCTACGATGGACTAAAGGCAGAAGCTACGAACCCCCAGATCCAATCAGGAGCCACTTAGACATTGTGTGGTACTTCGCTTCGAAGCACGTACGCCACGTCTCGGATGACTGATGGGAATGGGCCGACAGTGGATCGTATCGAGCAATGAGTGACTCAGCAATTTTACATTGCAAAGAAAGCCACGGCTTACTGGCTCATTGCGGTGTCGTAGCTATAAAACTGACGCAGCGTTTTTGGATTCGGAGCAATATTCGTCCAAACCTAACCAATGGTAAGCGTGTCATAGTTTAGCGTGGAACGTGATTGGACCTGGCGGCCCGTGGCTTTGGCCTTTAGTCCATCGTAGGATGAGACGAAGTATAACAGTGCCACAGACGACTCACTGATGCATTTATCGGAGCCCTTGTTTTGATGACAAACGCTTCGTGACTTCCCTATACTTCGTCTCATCCTACGATGGACTAAAGGCCAAAGCCACGGGCCGCAAGGTCCAATCACGTTGCAAGCTAAAATATGACACGCTTAGCATTGGTTAGGGGTGGACGAATGATCCTCCCAGTCCAAAAGCGCTGCATCATTTTTATAGCTTCGACACTGCAAAGAGCCTGTATGACATAGCTTTCTTTGCAATGTAGAATTGTTGAGTCACTCAGTGCTATTCAATCCAAACTACCGTCCGCCCCTCCCCATTAGTGATTCGAGACGCGGGTGCCGATACGCGCATCGAAGCGAAATCCCACGCAATGTCTAAGTGGCTCGTGATTGGATCTGGCGGTCTGTAGCTTCTGCCTTTAGTTCATCGTAGGGTGAGACGAAGTATAGTGTCTCGTCTTATCAATTCAAACAAATAAAGGCGTATTTAGAACATGACGGCATCATGACGAGCTAGTTTTTAGAAAGTTCTTTTGCGCGTGTGTGCTATTCTGAGCGTGCATGCCTCCCGATGTTGCCATTTTACTAGTTTCTGGTATGTCTTTCGTCCATGCTTTCTTCTGCGGGCTAAACCGCTGAACATCAGGTTGCACCTGCGTGTTTCCTTACCAACTTTAGTTCGTAAAGAGTACAAGTGGCTGAGGCGCATGTACACATGGGCCTCAGCCACTTGGTCTTCTACGGCCTTTAATCGATATCTTTGATTGTGCACCTAAGCACTGGTCTACGGCCTTCGTTTTACCCTTGCCATGGTTGATCATTGAAGATACACTTTCAGCGGTTTGATCAGCACTTAATTTGCAGGACACGCAGTTTTAAAACGATACCTTTATGTGAGACACTTTGCACAGATGTCGACGTCGTGGGCGGTCGTCGCAGCTACGGAAAAGCCCTTTTTGCACGAGTAATGACCATTTCATACTATATTTGTTTTCTTCTTTAAATTATTAATCTTCCTTCGTTTCATTCTGATGTCGGAATATTATTCATGTACCTATCCTGACATCCCCGTCAAGGGATTAAACCAGTCCATGGCACCTTATTACCATATCCTTCAGTTTTCTTTCCTTTTAATAATTTAAAAAAAAAGTAAACTATAACTATATAAGAGATGAAACCACCTTCAGGTACGAGGTACGCTAATGGCGACCATCGTCTCAGAATCAAAAATAGACTTTCGCAAACGCAATTTCTAACGAATGACTCACCGGACTTGTAGAGGGGGAAGTCTGCGTAGACAGTAAAGGCACCTTCCACGGGACCGTTCTTCATTATCTCCATCTGAATCTGGGTCTCGTTGCTGGGCACGGAGTAGGAAGATTTACCTGCTTGGGCAGAAACACTGGTTACTTACGCCACTTGATGTACCGGGTGTTCGTGAGAAAAGAGGACCGTGGTCCTCTTTTTTCACGGAGCTACGGATCGTAGAAAGCTACTTTGCGGGACTATGATGTTAACGGTTGCAATAGAACTCGAAAGTATTTAGAACGTAACATTACCTGGATCGAAAGTTAAAAAAAGACAAAATTTCTCTACGAGTCGACGTCAACCTACTAAGGTTTGTGTCCATATAAAATTTGTTTTTATATTGTATTAATATATTGTATTAATATATATTTATATTGTATTTGGGCACACAGCAATGTAATATTTTAAACTACGAAGAATCCGGAATCTATCAGAAATGAACCTGGATAAACTCCGAATTTTGGGAAAGGAATGAGCTCTGAAAGACACCCTCCGAATTTTACGAGAAATAAACTCCGGTAACACGGAACCCTAGTTATATATAAAAATAATGAGTGCTAAAAAAATCTTCAAATATTATTTATAGTTCAATATATTTAGATCTATCCAACATTTACTTGTATTGCACTCAATTATAATATATATACATTTGTTTTATTAAGGGCATTTATTGTGTTTTATCGTCAATCATGTGCATTGACTGGGGAAATGGACGATATATGTTTTTTATAGATCATGTGTTAAGATAATGTATGCATACTATATTCTTTATCCATAGAATATCGAAGTTGATAGTTATTACGTTTACTAATGCATGCTCCAGTTTTTCGTTTCATATTCCATTCTTCTTGGAGGATCCGTCCCTAGCCATTGACTAAAGATCCTGATCACTGTATATATTAAAGTAATTGAGTTATGTGTTTGCTCAGAAAGCGGGAAGGTAGTCAGCCCTAATGGGCCTCTAGCGTCTTCGCTGTCTGTGCTAGATGAGTCAATGAGCCAGTGTAGTACCACGGCTAGCCTGGGCGTCTTTAACGCTTAGAAGGAAAGAATAAAAACACTAAGGATTTTCACGAACAACCACATTCTAAAAGAGTGTGGTTGTCTGTGTCTTTCTATATTTAAGTGTTCCCAATCACAACACGCTCGACTGAACCAGTCTTTAACGCGCATCCCACAGTAGCGATACTCGACCGGACGCCCGTACAATGCTCATCCAGATCGAAACGGACAGGGGTGAGGACTGAATTTAGGGTTTTCCTGGAATTTTGCGGCGCGAGATATTTGTATGTATTGACGTATATATTGTTTTTCTAGGAACAACTTATAAAATATATAAAAGGACCAGGTAACCTCACCGTAGTGTTTGTCGTCCTTGAAGTCTACGTTGTATCCCTTGCGGCAGAGCCGCACGCACTTGGGCGTGGGCGGGTCCTGGCCACAGGGCCCCAGGGTCCCGTTGATGTGGTGGTCGCAGGAAGGGACAGGGTAGGGCATGCAGCCTTCGTCGGTGTCGTAGTTGCCGCCAGTCACTATGCCCTTCTCAACCCAGTAGCTCCAAGCGGCAGCCGGGTAGCCACCGTTGCATCTGCACATGCGCCGTCATGGGCGTCATGGAAATGTTCTCGCAATCCTTTTCTCCTTCTTTCTGGTGTGCTTAGCCGCCTATATTGCTAAATATACCACATATAAAAAGTAGTCCCAAGTGGCAACAAATGACGTCATGGGAGCAGACTTGTCTTGCTGCCGGATGTCGCGATCCTGGTGGTTGGGGCTAGAAGTCTCGGCAAAACGTACGAGCAAAAATGAGTGCTGCTGTGGCCATGGAGCTCCATCTGCTGGCTGTTTTTGAAGCTTCCGTGGGCTGTCAAGCTAGAGAGAGAGAGACCTGCAGTAGAACATTCGTCTGCCACGTCCACTATCGCTCCTGTGACACTGCCAGGATTGCGACCGACGACAGCATGACCATTCTGCGACGTCATCAAACGAAAATCAAAGGGATCACTTCTACTTTTTTTTTTTGTGACGCGGTAAACACACCAGTCGGAGACGCGTTCCAGGTACCATACCCTAGTCGCAGCAGCGATGGCACTGTGGAATGGACTACCTACGGAAGAGACAGTGGAAGCAAAAGTGACAGAGGAGCCCACTGGCTGGATACAGGATCCTAAGTTCTCTGATCACCCGCTACAAACAGGAAGAGGCCAACGAAATCAAATCCAGTTCGGAAGGACGGGATGCCACTTTTCTCTTTATGAGTAGGCCCTAGCCGCCCTTGCGTTTCAGAGTGATTCACACATTTGTATTTGAGTGTAATCGACTGCGTTGAGCCGCTTTTTACCGCGCACGACAAGATAACGGAATGGCGCCGTCTATCTGGTGGCTCTGGGACACTTTCCGTCTGCGTTACATTTAATTTACGCATCACGCTTTCGCCATGGGCTCGAATTATTCGGACGAGGTTTATGACGTATAAAATACAATTTCTCACAGTAAGTAGATTTAATCTGGCAAATACTGCAGAACCTTCAGTCCATTTATACGCATTTCGGAAGTATTTCAGGGCTGCCCGATAGATGGCGCCAGTGTGCCACCCTCGTCGAAAGCAGTCACGCGCTGTTGCAAGGCAGTCGATGACACTCGAACGCAAATGTGTGAACCAGCCGAAAAAAATGACACCGCATTCCATATAAGACAAGCCTCGCTTACCCCGAACCGCAACCCCAGCAGCAGGACAGGACGTCATCCGCGGCTAGATGCACGATGTTCTTGGCTCCAGAGTGGATGCAGTGTCGGTCTGACATTGATTCGACTGCGCCGAATGCCTGCAGGAAACAGCTATGTTCAGCGCGTTGTCTATTCCACCACGCTAAAGAGTAGAAGCTCATATACACCTCCAAAGTGCATCAGAACCATTGGGGTACGCGAGCACCGCTCCCCAACGATTCTGATATCCGCTTTGGTTTCAGGGGTTTAGAGAGGTTACAAATTTCTGGGACAGGCCACGGGGAGGCGCATATTATAGGTATGTGCATATGGTGTCCGCAATTCTGGGGTTTCTTAGAAGCAGCCCTGAAATGTGCTAGGGGGTGTTAGGGGCATGCGTAGATCACTGCATGCTCGCTGTTTAGAAACAGGTCTGCGCTTGCCCGGGGCTCTTCGCGTGCGCAGAAACCAGATTCTCGTCAAGTAAAACGTCTGCGACAACAGCGCCACCGAAGCGGCGTGACGTCAAGACCACGTGTTTGTGTATAGGCGTTTGCAGTTACTGCCTCTGGGCGCCGCCATCTTGCTGCTAGTGTCGGTAGATCGTCTGATAGTCAAGCATTGCTGAGGCGTACCCACGGCCTCAGCAATGCTTGACTATCAGACGATCTACCCATACCAGCAGCAATATTACGGCGCCCAGATGCCGTAATTGCAAACGTCTATTGACGCCCATAAGATGTAGGGTATAACAGACATAAAAGGCGTACTTAGCTATAGACCAGCAGGGCATACGGTATATGTCCATGTGGACGACCCGACCCGGTGGACGTACCCAGCAGGATCCGCACGCTCCTTGGTCCCGGATCTCCCGGATGGTGGGGCAGTCCTGCCACTGTTGCCTCGAGTCGAACTGGGCTGGGATGTCCATCTCCAGGGTGTCGTGCACCAGTTCGGGAAGCCGGTACTTGTGGTTGTCCCGGCTTACCCCCAATTTGCGCCGAACGGTTTCCAAGTCCCGGTGACCTTCGTTGTGGCCAGCCTGCGCGTGGACGGAAGGGAATCTTCCCTAGAACAGTCCCTTTTCACAGGTTCATCAAGCAACACCAGTGTAGAAAGTAACGACGTCACTGGTAACGCGTTACCCTTACTCGCCTGAAGGCCGCGCACCTCGCGCCGTGGAAAACGTGTGGGACAATAAAGGCTGCTCCTCAAGCTCCTGTCGTGCTGCGCCATCTCACGGCATTTGTCAGAAATGGGAGCAAATCTTCGATACGTTTGCTCCATTAGCGGCGCGTTTTTTTTTCTTTTTTTTTGTTTTTTAGACGTTGCTGGTAATCAAATTAATTGTACAAAATCAAGAGTACAAAATCTTGCAGAGACGCAGTACTTCGGTGTGCCAAGGAACATTTGATCACGCCGCGAGACTGGCCAAACTTGCTTTTGACGAGTTGTGGTTTTTTTTCCTACCGCACTGCACATTTGTAAAAATTTCCGCGTGTTTACAATGGCAGGTCTCAACCTTACACAGGGTCTTAAAAATCTTCGTTGACGAATGACGACGAACGAAGAGAAAACGTGTCTTCAGCACGCTGCCGTCAGCCTCTGTAACGCTAGCAAAACCGCAAATCGTCAATGAGCAAGATGGCCGTCCGGTGGCTTCACTCGCGGGAGTGGGAAGCGCGATCCAGCAATTGTCACTGAGGTCAGTGGTTTCATGTATGCAACACAATTGCCCAACATACTTTTTGTTGTTGTTGTTGTTGTTTAGGGAAGGTGGAAATAAAGAATATGAATGTTCGTTTTCTTTCGCGAATAAGAGCAAAAACAAGTTTGCTTTAAAGAATATCATCCAAACAAGCTTAGACAAGTGAACGACTTCTTTAATGATCAAACAACTTTTTTTATTGGAAGCAATGTCGTACGCCGACGCTGAGGTCACCCTGATAGTATACTTAGCAAAAGAAGAAAAATAAAACAAAAAAAAATTAGATGATTTTTTTTTTTTTTTTTTATCCAGGGAGCAATTTAACTATCTGCATTGCATACATTAAAAAAACATCTTATTTGATGTTTGCCATTTTTGACTCGCTTGATTTCGCTTTCGGATGTTTCCAAAGCTGGAAGTCGACTTTATCTACCCACAGTTTCGTATATAGACCGTAACAAACAAAAAATAATGCTTTGCGATTGCAGTCTTTCAGAAATGATCACTCGCACTGCGTTATTCAAGGTATTCCCCAGTGGCAGAGCCCGGGCATGTTTCCAAATCTCGAGATGGTATAAAACGTGCAACACGATATACCGGCTGAGATCTTGAATAACGTATCACGTTTTACTCTTGCGAAGCGCGAGGCAGTGAATCTGAAATATTTGCGGTCCGTTTTTCTAGAACATTTTATCAACTTGGCCCACGTTGTGTCTTCTGTAAACGACTCCTTACTTTCGCGGGCTCAATATTTCTCAAATTTTTGCGACGCGGTGGTGGTTTCGGGAATCTTTGCAGACAGAAAATTATGCGATTGTGAGTGTTATATGCTATGTATTCATTACTATTGGGAGGGGGGGGGGGGGGGGGGAATGCTTGTGTAATCTATTTTTCGAGATATGCTATAAAGTCGTGAAATGTACCAAAGTGGGGTCCTCGCGAAAATTAAACCGCTTACAGAAGATTCAGTACCAAGTGTGTTTCAAGTGGACCTTCAAGGAATGCGCTACCGCCGGGGTGATATACACAATGAGACCTATCTTTTTCTCCTCCGGTATCCGTGAAGAAAACGCCGCAACTGCGCATGCGCGCCGCCAGCCTTTTCTGCATAGTTCAAGGTCTTGTGGCGGATTACGGTGCGCTATCCGGGTGCTTAGCGGGCTGCGGAAACGGTCTACTACAACTCCCTTATAATTGAGACAGAGTCCGATATTCTTAAAGGCCGACGAACAAACTCGAGATTCTGCAAGGCAGAACATCCTGCTCACCATGGGGGAGGAGGAAACGGGCAACAGTGGACAGGGTAGAGGAGGAGAGAGAGGGGGAAGCGGGGAAAAGTGGAAAGCGCGAACTGGTCGTCGGTCTTTAACGTGAAACATTCTTTGGCTAGGTGTTCGGCATGTCGTAATGCCTGGATAAAAGGCGTGGCCGCGAGATGACACTAATGGGTTTTAAGTGTGTATATGTGTGTGTGTGTGTGTGGGGGGGGGGGGGGGGGGCTGGCTACCCAAACCTTTTAGATTATTAAGGGTGTGTCTTAATAATCTATATGTTTAATCTAAGTTAAATTATTAAGCGACTGTCACGACACATCGCCGTGACTTTGGGTGCCATTTGGCGGGAACGCCACACCTGCCCTTTATATGTTTGTTTATTTATTTGGTTCTTCGTGGCCTCAAAACGGCCAAGTCTTTGTATGAGGCACTTAGGCACAAAATATAGCATGCTCACAAACCGTTATACGATCATAGCAACATGCATACATCCACGCATGCAATATTATAGAAAATGTTGAAAAAGGAAATGGTAGCTGTGTGTACAAGAATAACTCAACTTCAAGCTTAAAATGTTCGTAATTAACAAAAATATCCACCAAGTTGGTGGACATATTAATAAAAGTGTTGTATGGCGGTAATGAGACGTAATTTCTCCGGATGAAAGGGATAAAACGGACAGGCATGTCTACTAACACGGCTAGGCGCGTGAAAAACCACAGAAAATAACATAGCACAATCAAGTTGACCGTGAATCATTTCTATTTAAAAGTAATACGTCTCGCATGACTCTTCTGCTTCACAAGGTTTGTAAGTTAAGGTCTCTAAAAGTGAAGGCATACTCATAAAGACATTTTCTATAGAAACAGCGGCCATAAATAATGCGAATAAGCCTCTTCTGAACGTGTTCAATTTGTTCTGATTCGGATATGATAAGATAGTTCCAAACAACACTGGCGAACTCAATTCTGGAACGAATGAAGCTACAAAAAAAAGACGAATACTACACAAGGGAATTCTAAACTCCTTCGTCTAACAATAAATCATGTCCAGCAATTTAAAAGCAGAGCTGGCGATCTGCGATACATGAAAAGAAAAAGAAAGATGGCTATCAAAATAAACATCACGGTCACGAACTGTGCTGTCGCGTAAAACAGGAGCGGTACCGAGAACGTAGTCGTTAGAAATCGGTTGCCGTGTTCTATGTACATTGATAACACCTATGTTCTATTAGGATAGATCGTTAAATGATGGGATAAACACCCCTCATGCACGCGTGTGACACATCGTCCCGTAAATATACGCGCGGTCAGCTTGTGACCCGACGCGTAAGGACAGCTTTAAATCATCGGTGAATAACAACTAACTTAGAATGTGTTATGCACATTTCAGTACGATGAATGAAACTAATAAGCAACATATAGCGGTCCCAAATTAGATACCCGGGGGACACCGGACGAGGGAACAGAGGGATCTGCAAAGCAGATAAATGGAGAAGCGTCCGGCTGACAGGAACTTGACACCCTGTCACGCGTCTTTAGAGACTCGAGAGCGTTTTGACGCCACGCGTTTCGCGTACAACGCAATTTGCCCAGCAACCTGTTTCTTTTTTCTTTTTTTTTATATACGCTTTGAGGAGGAGCACTTTGTAAAAAGATCTATACAAATAATTACCTACAAACCTTGTAGAAATATGCTTGCCCGAAAGAGTTTCTTACATATCTTAACACTGCTCGTATACATCAGAAAACAAGACTCTGTGTTCATTCAAGTTTCTGTGAATAGCACGCCTCAAGCATACTCGAAGCGCGCTCGCTTTGTACGTTCGTACGGTTAATTCGAACACGCGTCTGCAGACCATTTCTGTATGACCAATGGAGAGTTTTAGGAAACCGTTTGTGCCCATCTGATACGGTACCCTTCACGGTACGAACTGCGCATGTGCGAGTTTGCTATGGTAGCGCATGCGCAGTTCGTACCGCGGAGGGCCCATCGTCCCGTACAGGAAGTGCAAGAACGGTTCCCTAAAACTCCCTAATAGAGAGGTTTAGGGAACCGTCGACCTTTGCACATCCGATACGGTACGATGGGCCCTCCGGTACGAACTGCGCATGCGTGAGTCTTCTGCGGTAGCGCATGCGCAGTTCGTACCCGAGGGCCCATCGTCCCGTACAGGAAGTGCAAGAACGGTTCCCTAAAACTCCCTAATAGAGAGGTTTAGGGAACCGTCGACCTTTGCACATCCGATACGGTACGATGGGCCCTCCGGTACGAACTGCGCATGCGTGAGTCTTCTGCGGTAGCGCATGCGCAGTTCGTACCGCGGAGGGCCCATCGTCCCGTACAGGAAGTGCAAGAACGGTTCCCTAAAACTCCCTAATAGAGAGGTTTAGGGAACCGTCGACCTTTGCACATCCGATACGGTACGATGGGCCCTCCGGTACGAACTGCGCATGCGTGAGTCTTCTGCGGTAGCGCATGCGCAGTTCGTACCCGAGGGCCCATCGTCCCGTACAGGAAGTGCAAGAACGGTTCCCTAAAACTCCCTAATAGAGAGGTTTAGGGAACCGTCGACCTTTGCACATCCGATACGGTACGATGGGCCCTCCGGTACGAACTGCGCATGCGTGAGTCTTCTGCGGTAGCGCATGCGCAGTTCGTACCCGAGGGCCCATCGTCCCGTACAGGAAGTGCAAGAACGGTTCCCTAAAACTCCCTAATAGAGAGGTTTAGGGAACCGTCGACCTTTGCACATCCGATACGGTACGATGGGCCCTCCGGTACGAACTGCGCATGCGTGAGTCTTCTGCGGTAGCGCATGCGCAGTTCGTACCGCGGAGGGCCCATCGTCCCGTACAGGAAGTGCAAGAACGGTTCCCTAAAACTCCCTAATAGAGAGGTTTAGGGAACCGTCGACCTTTGCACATCCGATACGGTACGATGGGCCCTCCGGTACGAACTGCGCATGCGTGAGTCTTCTGCGGTAGCGCATGCGCAGTTCGTACCCGAGGGCCCATCGTCCCGTACAGGAAGTGCAAGAACGGTTCCCTAAAACTCCCTAATAGAGAGGTTTAGGGAACCGTCGACCTTTGCACATCCGATACGGTACGATGGGCCCTCCGGTACGAACTGCGCATGCGTGAGTCTTCTGCGGCAGCGCATGCGCAGTTCGTACCCGAGGGCCCATCGTCCCGTACAGGAAGTGCAAGAACGGTTCCCTAAAACTCCCTAATAGAGAGGTTTAGGGAACCGTCGACCTTTGCACATCCGATACGGTACGATGGGCCCTCCGGTACGAACTGCGCATGCGTGAGTCTTCTGCGGTAGCGCATGCGCAGTTCGTACCCGAGGGCCCATCGTCCCGTACAGGAAGTGCAAGAACGGTTCCCTAAAACTCCCTAATAGAGAGGTTTAGGGAACCGTCGACCTTTGCACATCCGATACGGTACGATGGGCCCTCCGGTACGAACTGCGCATGCGTGAGTCTTCTGCGGTAGCGCATGCGCAGTTCGTACCCGAGGGCCCATCGTCCCGTACAGGAAGTGCAAGAACGGTTCCCTAAAACTCCCTAATAGAGAGGTTTAGGGAACCGTCGACCTTTGCACATCCGATACGGTACGATGGGCCCTCCGGTACGAACTGCGCATGCGTGAGTCTTCTGCGGTAGCGCATGCGCAGTTCGTACCGCGGAGGGCCCATCGTCCCGTACAGGAAGTGCAAGAACGGTTCCCTAAAACTCCCTAATAGAGAGGTTTAGGGAACCGTCGACCTTTGCACATTCGATACGGTACGAAGGGCCCACCGCGGTACGAACTGCGCATGTGCGAGTCTTCTGCGGTAGCGCATGCGCAGTTCGTACCCGAGAGACCGTCGTACCGTATCGGATGTGCAAAAACGGTTCCCTAAAACGCTCTAATGTGGCGGGACCGTCGTACTGGGAAGAAAGACGCCCCAGACGGTGTGTGTAAACCGTCTTCTTTTTATAGACGCTTTACACACGCGCCAGAATACAGCCGCCATTGCTGACCTTCTCTTGTTTTACCGAGATACCGAGCCACTGAAATTGGCGTGGACGAGCCTCCACAAAGGCCAATGCTGGGGAGCAAGACAGAATAAAATTTAAGATGTCAATAACCTGGCCTGCTATGGTAATAATGAAGTGAAGTAAACGTAATAAGGGGGAACAGAAACTGAAGGTCAGTTATGGCGGCGCCCATGCACAGCTGCTGCAAAGCGTCTATACGATACAGTATGCAGCGTGGGCGCGTCCCGAATAAGTCGCCTTTCTGCAAAAAGGGACCGTGATGCCCGCAAAATAAGAGAAAATTGTTTTTTTGTTTTTTTTTTGTTTTTGTTTTTGTTTTTTCGCCACGATTCCAACATGTTTTGAGGTGTAATGTCGCGCCTCGAAACGCGATTGAAACTCTTATCAAGTGAATATCAGCCTGTCTTTCGAGATTAAAGGGTATTTGACACAGAAAGCTTATAAAGTGAGGGTTATTATGGTGGCTTCTGAATAACTTTACTGACGGTGGCAAAAGTCGGGATGCGTGAGATACGTCGTAATTAGTCAACTAATTTCCCAAACGTCGCTAATTAGGCTTTCTAAAATATTTTTTTTAGACGGGGTGGAGAACAAATTGACTTTTTTTATCAATGATTCAGATTTTAATTTTTTTTAATATCGGACTAATTTGATTTTAATAACTGTAGCTAGAAATGTTTTTATTCCTTATCATTATGTGTATTGTCAAACAAGGCAGAGCCATTGATCCATCCGTCCGATGACTATACAATCAATCCGTAAGACCGAATTTACTGTAAATTTAAACTTTTAAGGTACAGTTTCATTAAATTTTACTGGTGTAGACCCCGCCATACTACAACAAACGCAGCCTAAATATTTAGCTGGTGAAAAACTTTTTTTTTTTTAATTCTGATCTGCTTGAAATATAACATTGCTTTTCTTGCTTTTGTTCTTTCTTCCACGTTCTGATTTGCTTCCATTGGGACATTACGTAACAGACGAACAAAGTCGAAGGCAGAGAAAAAATCACGGAGTTCTGATCTGCTCGGAAGAGCACCACTTTTTTGTCTGTGTTCAGCCTGCTGAAACCTTCCTTGCTTGAGGATTCTTTGATTTAAATACAAAACAACTGAACATAGAACTTAAAGAAAACCCGAGACAAGCGAAAAGGATAGTGACAAACGCAACAAAATCCCTTGTCCCGTTTGTTTGTTTGTTTGTTTGTTTGTTTTAAGCATCAACGTTTATTAGCTAGCTTGCGCCGCAACCATTATTTCTGGATACTATAGAGAGGATAAAATGATATACAAGCGGCAAATAAGAAGTGTCTTGGGGATTATTTATGCGGGGAAGGTTTGATTTAAATCATCACCTTTCTGATTTTCATCATGGTTTGAATGACGATTTAAATCAATATTTAAATCGTGATTTAAATCATCTTGATGCTTATCTCTAGCCTGGTTGTAGCTGACGCTGTGCAATCAAAGGTCTGTAATCCGTCGACAGAATAGTTCTGAACACTTGCTGGATTAAAAAGCAGAAGAAACTAACGTGCGTTTTGAGGTATTCAGTACTGAATTTGAGCGGCAAAGAGACTGATGTACCAAAAGTCACATGAGCGTCCATGCTCGAAATGTCGTCAGTGACCCATCTGGCAGCGGCGTGTTATTTTGGGGTCACGTGATCACCGCAAAAGCCCGTGACAGCCTAAGTTCGGCACTGAATATTGCAGACAACGGTTTTCTTTTCTAAAATCTAACGGCGGTGCGCCCTGAAAGGAATAATGAAAATGTCAATTAGTAAAGTTAAAGGAATTGGCTTGCTCATTTTCACGCCATACTCGTGTTCTTAAGTCCGCAGTGGCAGCGTTGTAAGGAATCATTGAAAACGGTATTCTATATGAAGAAGAAAAAAAATCGTAACCTTACTTTAGGGGAGAAAACCTGGCCTCCCCCAAAGGAAAAAAAAAATTAACGGAAGACAAGCTTAGGTTTATAAACAAGCGAGCTGGCTAACGTTGCACATCATTATAACCAGAGTCGACGAACGATACGGAGGACAAACACATTCTCATAGTTTGGTAACTGATTCGAGATGCTTACAATTATCAACTCGCTACACAATTTCAAGTAATACTTGCAAACGCGTGCAGTTAGGACACAGCAGCTTTCTTCCCAGATGACCCGAAGTATCATGATCCCTCACCTTCCAGGTTGTGTTGATGAAATTGATGTAGTCCACCATCTTGTCTGACAGGGGAGCCAAGTAAGCGGGAACCATTAGGCGTCCTTCCTCGGCCCTCACCGACGCCCAGACGCCCAGCAAGAAGAAAGCCACAAAGAACCCCATCTCAATATCTTTAAAGGGGATACAACACCACCTTAGCGTGTAACTCCCTGTAACACCCTAGCACTCCGCTCCACGGAACTCCGGCTTCTGCAGACTGGTCGGATACTACGCCTGTCTGGAAGACTGGATGACCTGATGTCCAGATGACCAACGCCACCATGCGCTCTGGCCTGTCTGGAGTTAAAATCGCGCGACGCCTCTGGCGTCTTCGCGCGGAAATCTCGGCGACCTTCGTTCCCGGGAGCAGATCGGGTGGCCGGGGACCAAGATAAAGAATCAGAACTGGGAAAGCCCTCCATAGAGAAGGGCGGAGAGAGAAGATGGGCAGCATCCGATTTCGGGGCTTCCGAGTTCCCAGGCTCTCTGGTCGCGCCAGATTCGAGCGTCGCTGCGGTCATATGACACGCTGCATGCTGTTGACTTGACGGCGATGATTCACGGCTCGTTTTGACTGGATGCTTCTTGGAGAGAGTGGGTTGTCGTGAGGAAGGATGCTTTCATGATGAATGAAAGAATCGTTCTCGCATGCATGGTTTGAGTTATTCCATATGCAGTTGTACCAGGTGCCCCCCCCCCCCCTTCCCTCCCCGTAGAGTATTTGCTTTTTTTTTTTTTTTTTTTTTTTTTTTTTTTTACCGCAAACATAAACTATTCATCGCCGAACGTCTAGACATGCCCCAAATGTAGCGCTAGCAGTTCGGTCCAGATACCAGAGTTTCGGAGCATGTCGTTATCTAATTTGAAAGTCATAAGCAATTGTAAGTTTTCTATGAAGAAATGGCGGTTGACGAAGCCCACGAACACTTGGATGGATATCGCGGCAACGAGCCCCAAGTTCGCTCTGAAACTTTCTGAAAATAACTGAACTTTTGATTAAAACAAAGATTAGCTAAGAATCTTCGGCATCTGGTTTGTACCTCTATAGCGCTACATTCAGGCGGAGCTGAGCGTTCCGCGATTCGTAGTTTATTTTTGCGGCTAAGAAAAACATAATTTATTTTGGGTACACTGTTTATATTTATACTTACATATTTATTTGCATATATAGTATAATATATTTTACTCTTCATTGAGTAATTTGTTTATTTAGTCACCTATCCATTAATTTTTCAGATGGGGTTTTGTTAGTAACATTTTTTCTCACTTATCGAATAGTCATTAGTTAAATTAGACACTTGTTCGTTAAATATTCGGTTGACGAATATGTATTTCTCTTTGTAGTTTTAGCAGTCTGGTGGTTGTGGTTATCATTAGTTCATATTCGTACTGAGAGTTTCGCTGGCAGATAAGGCTACGACGCGAATCTGTCTTAGGTCGCAGTAGGGAACGTCCCATGCGGTTCATGTAGCTCGGTTACTATGGCCCTACATTCCGCATTGACCGTAGAATTCGATGGCCAGCACTGACCTGTGCGAAGAGAGTATCAAGAACGGGGTTTTGGATAGACGCCAAAGACCCCATGCATGCGCCTTTGATATATGATACACCAGCACCCTGTTTACTAACGGTCTCCCACGCGAGGTGGGTGCGTGCGCACAAACTATATCGGGGAGGAGCGTCTACGCATGCGCAGTGCCGCAGTGGCGTGACGTGAGAGATAATGAGGAGCGCAAGTTCGTCTGCTACTTTTTCAGGGGTTGTGGCGACGTCAGAACTTCCAGCTCTGATTGGCTCTGATTGAAGGATAGGGGACAGACCTCAAGTGGCCTTGATGTCTACCCACTATCCTTCAATCAGAGCCAATCATAGCTCGGCGTTCTGACGTCACCACAACCCCTGCAAAAGTAGCAGACGAACTCGCGCTTCGCATAAACATCAACGACTGAACGCACCTCTTCTACCAGCGCCGTGTCTGTCGTTACCTCTTCTACTCGTCCCTCGTCTGTTTTCGCGCTGTTCCAGTTTCATGGTGAACTAAAAAGCATGAAATATTTGGCGAACATCTCTCATACCTTCTCACTCATTTTTTTGTTTCCATTTTTTTTTTTTGTATTGCGTTTGTGTGTCCTTTTCCTGGGGTTAAGCTGAAACATGTGGCGTTCAGTCGCCCTGTGTACATGTCGCAATACCGTTTGTGCATGCAAGCAAGTAAGGGGCACCATACTTACAGTCGAGTGGATACCTGGACACAGTGCCATTCCCGAGAGTGAGAGGGCACACCGAGCCACAGCGGAGACAGCCTGTAGCACTCACTCCGCGCTAGGCTCAACCTCTCGGGAGAAGACGAAGGCGGAAGCAATGGACCCGGAGGAACGGGCCGAGCTCGCCGAACTGGAGAGAAAGGCCTACCTCCGCGGCCAGCTTCCGCCGACAGGCAGCAACATACTGGCAGGATACGGTCGGTGGGAAACCGTCAGGATTCGAAGAATAAGGACGAATACTGCGCTTACACCATCCAAACCAGTATTCTTAGGCCTGAAAGAAGATATGGACCCAACCTGCACGAGCTGCTCGGAGGGAGCCGAGGTAACATTGCAGCATCTGCTCTGGGCCTGTAAGCGCCTCCAGCATCAGAGAAATTATGCTCTGGACAAGATCCAGGGCGTAGACAAGCCTACGACGCTCGAGGAGTGGACCAATCCAACGGACACTCCTCAGCACAGGAAAGCCATCCTCGACTCCTTGATACAGTATATCAGGGAGTCGGGTGTACATAGCCTCATCTAGGACGTCACTACCATCATCATGAAATCCCCCTCACCCCCTCACAACCCTCCCTCTCCCGTCTCAGGAGCACAACTCCATAGCGGGTGAACCCCTCAATATTACTCTTTGTGGAGCATACTTTCGTGAAAAGGTTTATTTATCACAATATAAAAGTAATTTTTAGAATGTATAAAAGAAATAGCTATTCGGAGGACTAATGTAATGAAATTACCCTTGCCGCAAGGTAATTTGTAATTCCCTTCTGATGTTTGAAGATGGGTATTTTGTAGTGCAATATATTTATAACGAAAGTTCTAAAATGAAATAAAAAGTATAATCCTTCGCCTCCGTGGTGTGTGACACTCCAAACAGTCACCTGGTTTTTGTTCTTGTATTTAACTTGACGAAGTTAGATATGTGTGAAGTTTTGTGCAAACGTTTGCGGACCTGGACGCACGGAACAATAAATTTAGATTTATGGCCTTTGTATTATTAATAAGAGCAATGGCAACAGTGATTAATTAATTTATGATGCATGGCACATACTGTTGATGATTCTGATGGTGGCGTGATAATTAACTACTCTAAACTTACACGTGGTAAATAGCTAGCTACCGTGTGTCAGCGGTTTACTAGTGGCCCTACTGTTTACCAGTCACCAAATAATTTTTTTTTTTTTTTTTTTTAAGATGTATTGTGTGCTCTCTCAGAGTTTCCTCGCGAAAACTGGCGAATCACAGGCCGAAGAAAAATCTTAAATTCAAATCGCGCGCGCATTAAAAACGAAACTGAATCCTCCTACTACCAACAGCATCACGAGCGTGACACATATCGACTTGCTTCCCGTCTTCAGCCATTCCGTCTCAAGTCAAATCCGAATCCAACGTTACGGAAGATCACGTACTGCGCCCGTAGAAACGTGCTGCTGCGTATCGTTGCTGTGAATATGAGCCGCCCAGTCGCTATTTTCAACATATTCAAACTGCCATATAATGTGTTCGCAACGTGTCGACTGCTAGAAGCTCCCTGAGCTTCCCTTTGACCGTAGGTCCTTCTTAATTTAGTTGCGTGTCTGGAAAGATCTACTCTATCGTCGGGACGATGAAGCGAATTTCGGTGGAGAAAATTCAGGAGCTTCAAAAGCAGACGCACAATATTCGAAACGTCTGCATTCTGGCCCACGTTGACCACGGTGAGTCCAAAAAAAAAAAATATATATATATATATTATATTTTCTCTTATGACAGTTTGTAACTGAGCTCAACACCGCTGATCACATTCTGCGCCATCTGTCATCTCTGTCAATGAGGTCCGTTTTCATTCAAAGGTGTGTTTCTTTTCTACAGGCAAAACTACACTTGCCGATTCGTTGGTGGCGAGCAATGGCATCATATCGCAGAAGCTCGCAGGGAAAGTGAGTTTGATCTTGTGTATTCAGCGAAGTAAATAAAAGCTGGTTTTAGGGCGTGCCGACCCAGAACCCTGTTTGCCAGTCATGACCGCAACAATTCCATGCACGCCATAGCATTGTCGGTTATGTTGCATAAACTTTGAGTGTCGACAGTTTTTGTTAAGGGTTTTCAATTATGCGTCATCATATGGCCTAGAATAGTGCAATATGATTAAAAAGAAATGTTCAGCTCTGCTTTGACTCTCCTTAGGTAGAATCGCGCAGTTGCTCGAAGATTGTGCTCCAAATGAGCTTAATCTCGCTCCTCATACCTCTAAATCATTCACACAGCAACCTCGATGGATTCGGAGGCTGTGTTCGTGCAGCATCTGTTTAATGTGTTTCTAAGACTCATCAATTGAATGAGGAAAAAAAGGAAGTCTATCAAGCTTGTCGCTAATTAAGGCAGATGAAGGGACGTTGGCATATATATGTCGTGGTGTGCTGAGCTCTGAAGCTCAGCTGAGAGCAGAAGGGTATACATGCCTTTTCTGATTTGTCGTCATGTGTAGGGTGACCAGGCGTCCCTTTTTGGGCAGGAGAGTCCTGTTCTAAAGCAATAAAACAGTGTGTAAAACTGGCGACAAAAGTCACTTGTCCAACTCCGGAACAATGTGCTCATATAACACAATTTCACTTTTGTATCCCCCCTCCCCCTCCCCCTCAAACCAGAGAGTCCCGTTTTCTACCCTGAGGAATGTGGTCACCCTAGTCATGTGGCACCTTGCCAGTCGCCATATCTCCGTACCATGCTCCTGTGCCTGTACCTATGCAGCACACATTTGGCGCCATCGAATTTGTTCTTCTCGGCCAGCCCTGCTGAGAAGAGCAAATTTGACGGTGCGAAATGTTGGCTACAGAAGGTACGAGCACAGCAGCATGGTACGGAGCAGTGGCGACTGATGTAATGCAAATGCAAACCATGTATATGTGACACCAACTGCTCTGCATGTGCCGCACATATACTAATTGCAAAAAAATCAACTGACATGAGAAAACAAAATAATATGAAACATGATTTGTGGTACCTACACCCGCATCTTATTGAATCTTTAGGAAACATAGGTAAAATTATTTTTCTTAGTATTATAAACTATCATACTTGCTTCTTTGCACACCCACCTGTGGTGTACTTTTCGCAAAGCTAAGAGTCATTTTGAGTTTACGAGCTATTGTGATATCTCGAGAGGTAGTCCACTTAAAATTGATAGCAAATCAGATAAAAATAAGGGGTGGGCTAACTTTTGGTGTGTCATAAAGAAAAGTTTAAAAAAAAGGTAGTGTTAGATTTTGTGACCCTCAAAAACTTGTGATCGCAGGAAGGGGCAACGAACTGGCTGTCCTTCCCAGTCAGCAATGTTTGCTTATCTCCCGACGTGGTTAAGTCAGACCGTTTTTGCCGAGGTCACCATTGGCCAGGGTCCTGCAACTACTGGAAGTGTTCGGTGTTTCTGAAAGAATAGCAAATCAAGCCAAAAATAGGGGCGGGCTATCTTTCGGGGGTGGGGCATTTCTCGGGATGTTACGCTACTTATAAATCTGTATTGAGCGACCTCACCATTGTTATTTGTTGCTTTGTCATGTGCAAGTCGAGGCACAGTCAACGACATGTGTTCCTCAAGCTTGAACATGTTAATAGTCTCTTGGCATTGAAGCATCTTGAAACTAGTACCGTTGGCTGAACATTTTACATTCATAGTTTTCTCGGGACAAATTTCTTAAAGTTGCCAGTAAAAGCAACAAAGGACATTGAGTGTGACGGCAAATGAGATTTCACTATGATTCAAGCCTCCTGTGCTGTGTCTCTACAGGTGCAGCAACCGAGGCTGCGAAGTAATTTGTTTTTTTTAGTTCCGCAGTTTTCAAAAATGTCTGTCGTGAATGGCGAGCTCACTTGCAAGGGTCAGGAGTGTAGACACCGTCTTCTCTTCACAGCTGCGCTACATGGACAGCAGAAGTGATGAGCAAGAACGCGGCATCACCATGAAGTCCAGTGCGATCACTCTGCACTACCCCAAGAGTATGTATACCTGCTCACCACCATTACACTAAACTGAGTCTGTATGCTTGCATCGTAGTGTATTGGCACTACAGTGCCATTACTCTAAAAACTCATTTTTCCTGACCATCTCTTCCAAACTGAATTTGTGTGATGAATCATTCATGTTTGCTCCAGTGGCATGTTGTAGTCATCCTTGATGTGCTGCTTTATATCGCTTTGCAGGTGCATTCTATTTCAACAGTGTATTGCTACGCTTTGCTGAAGCGTTTGTTACACTGCAACTTTGCACGTATATTGATGTAGCAAGTTCACAATTTGAAGTGTTCCCTGTCTTGAGTGCACAGCTTTCTGAAAATGACTTTTGGTCGTGATGGTAAAATCTGAAAGAGCTACAAAAAAGTTAAAGCCCTCAAAGCGGCAGGAAAAGAAAGGGGGGGAAGACAGCCACTGTGTGTTCCCTACCCCTCCCCTCTCTTTTTGTTTGCTCATTATGGGGGGACAGGCAGCTACTGTGTGCATGTCTGTACCCCCTTTTGCTTTCTTAGTATCGACCATCTCACGTGCACTTTAAGCATCTTGTCGTTAGGCATTTGGGATTGCTTTTTGTATAGTTTGCATGCCAAACTATCCAGGTTCTTTCCGCAATTTTAGTTTCAGGCAGTGCCGTGAAATTTTCACTTTTATTTGCAGACTTGTAAGTCACGGGAAATTTCTCCTAAAAGTCTGCCGACGCTCACAAAATTTAGGGCAGGGTCGAAGAAGTCGCAGGGGCGTGGAGCCTTTTTGCCCTCGTTCCTCGTCCTTAGATCTATCTGTCCAGTCCCCGAGTCTTGGCCGTGTTGCCCCTTATATACCGAGTTTGAGCGTCTATCCGAACAGCCTGCTCTAGACCCAAGACGTACAGGTAGGCCATCGAGGCAAGCACGTGGCCAGAGGGGCGGGGGGGGGGGGGGGGGTCCATGGAACCCAGCCCCCTCCCCCCCCCCAGAATCTTCCATTTTGCTGGGGCCTGATCTCTTCCCTCCCCCTCATACAGCATTTTGTCATAAATTCCCCCCCCCCCCCCTTCCCCCCAAATCAAAATCCTGGCTATGTACCTTGCATCAAGGTACACTTCCTTCGGCATCTTGCCCTCACGCACTCTACTGTCCTGCCCGGTGGTGACGACTCTCATCAGGTCTCTGACAGCTCAGCAACCCGTGATGCGGGGGATTTCAATTTGCAGGGGACCTGCTGGTGAACCTTGTGGACTCCCCGGGTCACGTCGACTTCACGAGCGAGGTGATGGCTGCCGTGCGACTCTGCGATGGTGCAGTCATCGTCGTGGATGTGGTCGAAGGCGTTTGTGCGCAAGTAAGCACCTGGCCTCGAGATCGAGGTGCAGATGAAACCTCTCTGATCGCTCTCGTATCGCACGTACTAGTGAAGCTCGATTGTATGAAGCCCGATTTTATGAAATTCCGAAGTTAACAAATTAATTTTAATTCCCCACACAGATTCCCATAGGGCTCCTCCGTGCTCTTACGAACTAGAAATAACTAAATAAATTTGACCGTCGGCTCGACCTAACAAACTGTTCACAGAAAAATAGAAATGCGAAAAGGGGTATTTTCGTGCATGTTTGTTTAAAATTCCTCGAAGCTCATTGCACCGGCAATAAGGTCGAGCAACCATAGCTTCGTTTTTACAACAAAAAAAAACAAAAAAACAATGAAACTTGGCACTTTTGTCTTTTTAGTCAATTACACCAGATGGCGTTAGTTTTTTCGTAGCGTTTCATTCATGGCGCACGCGACAGACAATGCTGACAGAGTTTGCCGGTCGTCTGGTTTCGGTTCGGTTGCGTTCGGTGGTGGTTCGCTTTCCCGTTAGGCCTCACGACGGGCGTGGTGGACACGAACGGCAAAAACGTCGCCGAGACGACGGCGGCAAAGAGGTTTTTCGGTCGTCGCACTTCTAACACATGCTTTCTACATGACACTTCTGTGTCTCGTGATCTTCGTACGCGCATGCACGATGGAACACGAGTGCACGCTGGAAGGCATCGGAAAGAGACGTGGAAGGCATACACTTGTCCTATCAGGGACTTTTGTGTTGCTGTAAAAGGAAGCCCCCGAAGAAAAAGAATTGTGCTTGCCCTCGAAAGAAAACGCGGAAATCGTTTGTACTTGGATCGAAGAGGGCACTCCTTTGGCACCTCTGGTGGGGCACGTGGACTTCAATGCGAGCCCCTGCGGGAATGGTCTCTTGATGTTACGTCAAAACTAGGCCTATCGAATTTTGTGCCCAAAAATAGCTATTTTAAATTAGAAAAGTTCCCAGTGTAACTGAATAATTTGCGGCTCCCTTCGGCTTTGTTAGATTGAGCCTTGACGGTATCATATTTTTCGGTCTATAAGTTTCGCCCCCTTATAAACCGTCGTTTTCATAAAAAAAAGTTGGTGTTTAAGTAGCTCTTTATAGACCAACACGCGTCCCTGACGTTACGCAGCTGTGGTGGCGCTGTCGACGGCACTGCGCATGCGCAGAAGCTTAACTTCACGTGAATTCGGTTTCTGTGCATGCGCAGTGCCCACCCCTAGTGTGGGCAAACGTGGGCTTGTTTGTAAACAGCGTGTCGGTCTATACAGTCCACAGCCACATATTTATGCTCAGACTGCTGAATGAGGGGTTCATTGGCAGGTGCTCTTCTATTTCTCCTCCGTTATAAATGTTGATGTGGTCTATGTCTTGCACAGTTACGGTACATACTTGCGAAAAAATGTTCCCCTAGGTTGTACAGTTGAAAATACACACCTACAGAAATTTTGGGTAAATATTGTAATTTATATACCGGAAAATATGGTATTGAAATGTAAACAATTTGACGGAAAGTGTACAACCATGATGAGCGCTTGCACGACAGAACATCATACAAGCGCTTCATTTAAGAAATAGACAAACATCACGTGTGAGCTGGAAGCTTACTTCAATTGTCATTTGTGACAGTATTGACGGGTACGAAATTCCGGGGCAGTGGCCATTTTGATGGCCCTTCTGACGTTTGTGATTTCTCTGTGCCCCAGACGAAAGTGGCCCTGAACCTGGCCTGGTCGGAGGGCCTCAAGCCCCTGCTGGTGCTGAACAAGATGGATCGGCTCATCCTGGAGAAGAAGATGACTCCTCTCGATGCCCACATACACCTGCAGCAGATCCTGGAGCAGGTGAGCGCTTCCACTCTCTTAGCGTGGGGTTGCAGTACTGTCCACTTGCGAGTAGCGTGCCCTTGGCAATGGTGCGGCGAGGCAGAGACGATGGGTTTGACCGGTGCAGTGGGAAGAAAGTTTGTGTCAAAACTTCAGAGCACTTCTCAGAATTTTGTGAAGTGGCTTTGTCGTTTCACCGCTCGAAAACCAAGAGCTTAAGGCCTTAGTTGTCAATGGGGTTCACTGGTTCAGCTAATTCGATAGGGATTGTGAAACCTTTTTCTTTTTTTTCAGTTTGGCCAGCTTGTGCTGAGAATAAATATTTGACATTTGTAAGGTATGGAATAATAGTCTGGCTTTGTTTAGGTGAGCTGGTTCTTCCAGAAAGCGAATTTATGAGGTTTGCATTCTTTTCCCTCCTTAAATCCCTATTTTATTCATGACAAGTAAGTGATTTTGTACCTTAATGAACAGGACAAAAATTATCTTTTGGCACATGCTAATCTGCCCAGTCACATTGTTAGAAGTTGAACACAGAAGGAAACAAATGTGGAGAACGGAAGAAAAAAAATAAAGTATAAAAGATTGCTAAGCAATTGTGTTACACGCGAAACGTTTTGATATCTCTTCAGACCTTTATCGAGCTCGGCACGTACGCTCACGGAGCTCTTCGTCAGATAACTTGACACGTGCCATATAAACTTGATAGCAGTTCCTGAAATGAAAATTCATATTTTTTGCTTATTTCTCTGGTCATGTGACCTTCCCCATCAGCCAATCAACATCGAGCTTTACGACTTCACCTTGAACCCAGCCTCACTTTTCGGCTTCTTTGAAATCTGAACACCTGCCTGACTATACAAAGAATGTTTCATGCTAAAAGCACCGAAGGGGATAGCCTCTTTGGACCACATCCTGTCAACAAGGATTCATTTGGTGTACACCAGGGGTCTCATACTCATTTGAGTACGGGGGCCAGATAGCCCACCTCCGAAAGGTTGAGTGCCAACGTACAAAGAAAAGAACCTTATGCTCTTTTTTTTTGTGAATTAGTTGTTTAGTTAGTTACATCTTCAGCTCTGATTTGTTTATATGACTACTTTGGGCCCTTGCCTGATGTGATAACAAGAATTAAAATGGCACCGCTCCTACGAGAGCAAGCACACTGTCATTTCTCTTCACCAATTCACTCGGGAATTATTCAAGCTTAACATTTCTTAAAAAAGGAGGAAATCTCCTCATAGGACAGTTCTTGGTCTCCTGAGGATTCTTGATAGCAGCAGTCTAAAAAAATACTTGTAGTTGAATGGCAATTTTTTGTGAAGGCGAAAATCTCAAGCTCTTAGCTTTATCTTTGGCAGTTCCTCTGCTAAGCGAGAGTTTGTGCAACCAACATGTGTCCTTGAGCGAAGTGCTCGCGCTTGCAGCGTAAAGGCGAAATTGTTGTACAGATGACTGACACGACAAAAAGTGGGGAAGCAAAAATTAAAAAGAGACACAGCGCAAATGAAAACAGAATAGCAACTATGTAAATTCGTTATAAGAGCAGAGCTACGTTTCGAGCGGAAATACATCGGCAACATAAGATCATTATAGCGCATGCCATTTCTAGCGCTCAAGGTATGGGAACGATGGCTCGCAGTCACTGCCTGTGGGCCGCATCCCAGCGAGTCGCGGGCCACGTGCTTGAGACCCCTGGTACATACCAACAAGATGATTGAGCGCGGGAATGAAAAACCGGACCACCGGTTCCTTGCTGCCAGCTTCCGTTTCACAGCCCCTTTAACGGGTTCATGAAAATTTTTTTCAGATCTTAACTCCGCAGTGCACACAATAAACAGTTTACTTGATTAAATTATGAAGCTCATATCAGGTCTTACTTGTCCACGCTTGTTTTCGAAAAAAAGCCTCGATGAAGCGCAGGCTTTTTTTTACGTCCTTTTTCTCGGAACCGTCCTCCACATGTGCAGGATGTGTTCAGTGCCATCTTGAAAGGTGCTGATCAACGGAGGTTTATTTCTTAGCAGCGGATAATCCTTCCAGCCGGGCTCATCAGTCATAGAATGGCTGGTGCACTTCAGCGCTGTTGAAACTCGGCAGCAGCCGTGAGGCACTTAGTCTCAGCGCTTAGACATTAGTTGCTTGGCCTCAGCACTAGCCTTTGGCCACTTGTGATGCCAAATGTGTGATTGGAAAGTTGCGACGGTGTCACAGAGATGTATCCCGATGAAGGAGTGAAGGATCAACGGGTTCCTTACTTCCATTTAACTGGTTCTTAACTGTCCTTTGAACGCTAAGGTTTATGTAACTAAACTCTCACCATGACTCACATTTGCTTTTCTTTAGGTGAATGCAGTGGTGGGAGAACTGTTTGCGGCAGGTGTCATGGAAAAGACGTCTAACGAAGCCTCCACCAAGAAGAATCTGGAGTCTCAGGAGAACGTAAGTCATTTCTGTCATGCACTCTCCTCCACGATTTCGGAATGTCGCAGTTGGTCTCACTAATCGGCCCGCATTCCGAGTTTACTTCCATTAGCCATCGTCGAGCATTTCACCACACAAGTTTGCGATCGAATGGGCACACTCCAAGGGACTAATTGTTTCAACGCTAACATTTGGGTCATGCGGGAAGTCTTTAAGAAACTGTCAGTCGAGCTTTGCGTTAACTTCGTAGTAAATTGTCCGAATGGCAGACGTTACCGGCTTGACTCCTATAAAAGATTGCTGAGCTGCAACTGAGTTAGGGCGAGACAACCTGTCGTGAGCCTACCTTGGCAGGGGCTACTCCCCATATTTTTGGTGTTATTATGTTTTATCAGTTTTAAACGTAAGTTCAGAGTAAAATCACGTCTCATATGGGCAGGGACGGCGCCAAGAGGAGGCGAGGGGTGGCGGGCGCCTCACTGTAGACGAGCATCGTGTGCACCAACATGCGACTCCGACGTAATGCCGTTGCGGTGGCGACGTTGTCGCCACAGTGCATGTGCTTCACTTTGCGCAAATCTGGTTTCTGCACATGCGCAGTGCCCACGCACAATGTGGACAAATGTGGGGTTTTTTGTAAGTAGCACGACGGCCTCGAAGAAAATCAGTTTGAAGGCCCCTTCATACCGGACGTTTGTCTTTTTTATTTACAAAATTTCTGCTGTGAAAAGCAGACAAATGCCACACAGCGGGCGGGGGAGGGATGTCCCTTGGTAGCACCCGCAAGCACAAAAGTAGCTCGCCTAGACGAGCCAAAGCTGGGAGACACTATAAGTTTGGATGGTCTTCCAGAACTAAGAGCGGAAGCCCCCCATGGCGGGAGGGGTGCCAATTTTCTCTTCTAGAGTCTCCTCTCAGTTGACAGGAAAATAATCGGTCAGCTGATGGGCACATGCTCCCTACACTTTCCTTTCCAACAAAATTTTGTGGAAGAGTGGTAGCGTGGTAAACCCGTGGCCTGAAGGGGTCATGCATAAATGCATGCGGGGGAAAGAGAAAAAGCAGAGAAGTAGCGAAGAGCGACCGCCAGGGTGGAAAAGTAATTTCCCGTTTCTGTGCAAGCCCACCTTGGGGCAGGTCGCCTGGGGTCTGCATCTGTCTCGGACATTTTCAGTGTTATTAGCTTTAGAAAAAGACAGCCTTCAGCAGTTTTAGTCTGGAAAGAAATAGGAATCCTGGGCAGTTCTCTGAAGCCCGCAGATTGGTTGTGTATGCTCGGCTTGAAAGTCAGGAAAACCCGAAGCATTTTTGGGTGTGCTACGACGTCCGATGCTCGGATTAGTACCTCTTTTTGACAGAAAGGCACAAAACAAAAAGTTTAAGGAAATGTCACCTAACGTCATAACGAGTCATAAATCAACATGTGTCTTGAAACAAGAATGTGGCAAGTCTCTGTGACAGCGATGACGTCAACTTTGGGAACGACAAACTCAATTCCCAACCCTATGAAATGAAGATAGAAATGCTAGTGCGTGATGCAGCTAGAACAGCTCATGGTTTCCAACGCAGCCCAGTACTCCAATCCTTTTTTGAGGCCAAGTATGAGTGTGATTGCAGGACCTTCAAGTCAGGGCTGTGTTCCAAAATTTACTTGATCCGACTCCGGAGTAAAGGTTTTATACCGTGGCGTTTCTAAACTTACTCGCGCTTACTCTGCGACGTCAGAACTCACGTTTCAGAAGCGGGTTGTTTGCTGCAAAGCAATTACTCACGCTAGCCTTCTCCGATCGGCGGGTAACGTCGGATCAAATCTAGTAAAGGCGTCGCGTGATCTGTTCGCCGTATGCTTGTCGTCTGCTTTCTGCACTGTCAGCCGTCAGAGCCCGTCTGCTTCGTTGGTTTTAGCGGCAGATATTCGAAATGGCAGAGAATGAGGTGCAACCATTTATGTGTGGTTATTGCAAATTTCTGTTTCCAACGCGCGAATTGACTGTGCACCATATTCAGACCGTGAACCTGTTGTTCTTATTAGAGTGCAAGCATAAGCAGGAGCTTCTCCGCATCCTCATCTTTGGCATTGGAGTCAACTCCGTATTCTTACGTTCAAGGGTGAAGATGTTCGAACACAGTAGATAATGTAGACGTCATTTTTTCCCAGAATGTCCATAAGGAGAATGTAACGTTTGTAAAGCAGTGAAGGCTTCGAAGATTTCATGTGTATGATCAGTCAACAACCCCACTCCCTCTCCCTCCCCAAGAAAATGCCAATAGCAGTTTGGAAGTACTTTTTGTGATTTTTTAATCATATTCTCATTAAAGCGAACATAGGTTACAGATCACTTATCAGGAATACCCCTGCACTGTACCGCTACACCTTGTGGAAGCGGATTCTAAATTTCCGCAAAACGTCGTCGGTGCAAATTACGATGCGCGGAACGTATATGCGTTTAGGGCACCTGGACTAGACTAGCAGCAATTGCACCGGTTAATAAAAACAAATTTTTGATGTCTATCTGAAGAAGTAATTTTGATCTCAACATACAGCCCAAAAGAAAGGTAAGCAAGCAGAGCCGGTAGAGCCACCTCCGAAAACACCATGTCGTCACTGTTAAAGGAAAGCTTTGCAGCGGTTAATATTATTGTGTCTTAGTCTTCGACTGCTTCCTCCGCTGATCTTTAGAAAATGAGTGACTTCCTCCAATGATCTCTAGAGATCAGTGGCTTCCTCCATGATCAAAAGCGATCGTCTGCTATATCCTGCCGCCGCTGCTATGTTTTCTTTTTGACGTAGCCCAAAACGAAGCCAATACTCGTACTGTCCAGGTGATAATCGCTGCAGTTCCGAAATCGAGTCGCAGATCGTTTACTTACGATGTCACGTGGTATTTACCACTGATGTAGGAGACAGGTTACTCAAGCAAGATTTGGAGCCAGACTGGTGACACCAGCTTCTCATGCTTGGAGTAAAGTGACTCTTCAAACATTGCCCCCCCCCCCCCCCCCACCCACCTCAACATTTCTACTGGTAATGTACAGTCAAACAGAAGTGCTGTGTTTCTAACCAAAAGTTAATGCCTTTGAAAAAAAAAATATTTACAAAGACGGCAGACTATGACCCCATGACAACAAACAGGGGCACAACATGTCAGTGGCATCATGGGTTGCCTGCAAGCAGGAGATATTCAATAAAAGTTAGGCATTATGTCCCCGCAATAGACAACAGTGATAATCTTCATCTAGGCGGTTCCGACGTTTTGTTCCGATGTGCGTAAGCACGGTGACAACAACTTCTAACCCGCCACCAAAAAGCCTCTAATGCCGCTCTCCTCTGGCTTTTTATCGTCTTCCATTTGTCGTCAAACCACTCGTGACTATTGGAGCCTGCCTTTGATAACGCGTAGTAGAAGCTTCAACCGCCATGCTTGCTAGATTGACCATGTTTCTACCTAGCCATCGTATCCTATTCAATTATCGTAGCTTTTTAGAAACCAATTAGCAGTCAAAAGCCCATGCTTCCCCAAAAAAGTTGTTTTCCTCCCCCTACCTCTTCACTATAAAAACTCTACTTTGGACCTGGGCATTCAACCTGCTTTGGGAGGGTGTAGTTGCCTGTGCTTTGCACATGGTCTACGTGCACCTAACCTGTTTTGGCATAATTGTAGAGTGTTTAAAAACCAAGGTACCAAAGCAGTATCACACAGTTTCGGTCTGGGATTATGAAGGTGCAGCAATTATACAAAACGCGCAATCTTAAATTTTCAACCGATTGTGCAAGTTAATTTCAGAGAGACTTTAGATATCTCGAGTTCGGCTGGAAAGAGGGGGCAATATATCTGAGCAAATGAACTTCCCCTGAAATTCCGAGCAGGCACCCTTCCAAAACTTGGGAAAAAACCGACAAAACTTTGAGGTTGGTAAGCCTGTCTGAGCATAATTTAGTAGTAAACAAGTTTTATTCATTCTAATTAATACATAAATATGCATAGATGAAAAGAAATGTGTTCGACAAGTATGCACATCTTTTTGGAGTATATCTCAATTTTCTCCTTGGCTCATTTGTTTAATAAAAAGAGTTACGACAGCAGCTTTTTGCTTCGCTAGTATGTATTGTGGACGTGTGATGCTGACAAGAGCTCTCTCTGCTTGACAGGCTCAGGTGTTTGACTGGGACAGCGGCCTGGACGACGCGGACGACTCCACGCTCTACTTCTCCCCCGAGCAAGGCAATGTGGTGTTTGCCAGCGCCTACGACGGGTGGGGATTCAGGTAACATTACGCGATTTTACTTTGACCTCTGCAGTTACTTGCAGCAGAAACTTGTCAGCAAGAAAGAAAACCATATATGTACTTTTTCTTGTTGACAAGTTTTTTTTCACTGAAATAAATGCTACATGCCCCCACAGTGTCATTTCTTACTTTAATAATATTAGGTTAGGGGGCATCTGCTCATACAGAAATTTCGTTTTCCTCAATTATCGTTTGGTCAAGGCAACGTCGTGTTTTCAGACTTTCAAATTCTATCCCAACTGGCAGCGTCACATTCTCATGGAGTATAAGGTTTCTGCTATGCATAGTAGTTTATTTACACGGGCAGAAAAAAAAAGGGTTTTCGTATCTCGGAAACTCCCTGTATTTTACTTTTGTACATTCTGCCCGGTACTTTCTGGGTACTTTACTTGAAGCACATAACCTCTCATTTACTTTGTACATTACTTGAGTACTTTTTAAATATACTTTACCCAACACTGCATACAATCCACAGGAGCTTGCGTCAGATTCATAGGAACTCGCATCAACATCGTTGAAGCCCCTGTTTCGTTGGGGTTCCTGTGTCACGAATCTCTCTTGCGTCTCCCCTTCTCAGTACAAGCAACTTTGCTGAGCTGTACTCCAAGAAGCTGGGAGTGAAGAGGGAGGTTTTGGAGAAGACCCTTTGGGGGGACTTTTACCTCAACGTCAAGGCCAGGAGGATCCTCAGGGGAGCTCAGGTAAGTGTGTACTCTTCAAGACGGAAAATGCTGGTTGCTGTCATGACGGTATTACTTGTTTTCATGGCATGATTAATGAGTTATCACATGTCAGTTTAGGCTAACATCTGTCATGTCACTGCAGTACAGTTTTCACTCGGGCTTTGGTCACTTTTCTGCGACTTGCATTTTAAGAAACATAAATATAATTTGTTGCAAAATACTGTTAAAAGCCATTGTGTATGCATCATGTTTTCAGAATGATAATATAATAGTCTAGAAATGCAGGACCTGGATGGCTCAAAATTGCTACGAGATTGTGAAGCTGTACAAATTACTCCGAGAAGAAAGTTGAAGCGCATAATTAAGCAGTGAGGTTTGTTTCGAGAAATTTTGTTGAAATTTATGTTTTAGCACATCCAGGTAAACTTATGTGTTATTTAAATTTAATCGCAATTGAAAAATTATTAGAAAACCTTGACTGAACTAGCGCAGTAACCTGCCTGAACTTTTGGCTTCTAAATATCCATAATCATTTTGGGACATTCATGATGCATGTTTGTTATCTCTTTGTTCTCAGGCTAAGTGCAAGAAGACCCTGTTTTCACAGCTGGTACTGGAGACCCTATGGGAGGTGTACGATGCCATCTGCACAAGACGGTATGTTTGCATCCTCGGTGTTCTTTTTTCGTCTGGATCCGCCAAATAAGTTTGGCCGACCAGCGGCAACAGGAGGCCATCTGCAACTCCAACTGCTTACAGGTGGCGCCACTAGTTTCCAAAACGGCAGGTGTGGTGAGGGTCGGAGACGCGTAAAGAATCTTGTAGCTGCGGTCTGACAGGCATTCTGGATTTATTGAGTCACTCAAATCGTTCTTAATGCTGCTGGGAGGTATCAGACAGGTGGGTCATCTCTTTCTGGGCGAGAAAACATCAGTGACCAACAACAACGATGGCTCGCTTGTCCTCTTAGCCACATTTAGACAGCGGATCGTGTCATCGGCACCAACATTCTTGCGGCACTTCTGACAACCATTTTCTAGCTGCACCTTTTGTTTGGTTAAGAGGAGAAGCAGATTTCCTGAAGCTACCACTTGTCTTTTGAGGGTGCATTTAAATCATTATTCCGTCACTGGAAAAAGAATGCACGCTGTCTACCGACCAGGTACCATTTCACCGGAATGCTTTTGCACAACTGAATGTGCCAAATGCTTTTATGCTATATGCAACATATAGCAGTCTGTTGAGCAACTTAATTCTCATTAAAACGAAAGAAAAAGAGGCCGAAATCACTGCTGCCGCCACGCTGATTCATTTCGGGCAGCACTTATATATAAGAAAGCGTGGTGAAGCAGCCCCTCGGCACTTTTCTGTGCAATGAACATTCCCGAAACCCCTTTTCTACCCAGTAAAAGCACATCAGGTCACTTAACGTGTGTATGAAAGACGTAGGTCGCACAGGATTGTCTAGTTATAGAGGGCGACGGTTTTGCGTAACACCTAGGAACTGAGGTGCAGTGAGGAATGGGAGGGCTAAAGTTAGTAATAATATTTTGTAATGAGCCATCCGCAGACTTGCTGCGAAGTGGCGTGAAAGTGGAGGGTGAAGCCGGGTGAGGTTAACACAAGCCCCGGTGAAACAGCCGCTGTCCCCCACTGCGTGGCACCGAAATTGGCGACGGAGGACGTCGCCGGCGATCTTTAGTTGCTAGGTGTTACATCACAGCTTTGCTCCCTATAATCAGGCGATCTAATGCGGCCTCCATTGCTACGCATCCTATCGCCAAGCCTCTCGAAACCTGCATCCCGCCGCCATCTGTCGGCGCTTGCAGGAGGTGTTTCCTAGCTAGTTTCCACAGCCAATGGGGTTGTGGCGCCATCCCGTGGCGACATTACAAACTTTGTATATGTGCGCGCTCCAAACCAGTCCAAGGTCGGCACATGTACCAGGGTGCTAACGTTAACGCATTAAAAAGTATCGCTGCGCAGCCCAGGCTGCCGTGTGGCGTCACTCAGTCGGGAGACCCTCACTAGAGCGCTTTCAGTTTCTACCGTGAGAGGGTGAATAGTACTAACAAGTTGGAGACCAGAACATCATTACGTAACATTAGCGTTGCCCAACAAAAAGGTTGAAGAAGGTGCTCCCGATTGTCCCATCGGTTAGTACGGCCCAGAGCGGAGCAAAATGACCGTGTCAACCAGAGCCAGACCTAAATGACGAGCCGCCTATCCGATCAACGCTTGTCGGTGCTCACGAAACACCATAAAACGGTGGCATCTGTGAACCATTCAATGTCTCAAAAATGACGAGCAGGGGGACACCACTGTGGCGGCATTGGACAGCACAAAACGCGTTTCCCGTTGGTTTCTTTAGCGCGTTCTCGAATGTGCTTTCTCCGTTTTTGCCCGATTGCGTCGTAGCAGTGGAAGTGAATGCGGCAGACGCATATTCAGCTGCTGGTCGCTCTCCAAACTCGACGGACCACATGAGCTTCGGCAGCCAGGGGTTGGGACACCGCAATAACGGCAACGCTCTCCTTCGCTCATACCTTTGATCTGAACTCATACCGCCGAGGCCGCCGCATCCGACAGCATGATGCGTTGGCCCGTGCGGCACAATTTTATTACCGCTTCTCTTTTCCTTTGTCGTCCACCGTCCTGACGCATTCGTCTGCAGGGACCCCGTGGCCGTGGAGAAGATAACGCGGACGCTCGGAGTGACCCTGTCGAGTCGTGGCGGCCGTCAGACGGACCCCCGCGCCCAGGTGCAGGCCCTCTGTTCCCAGTGGATGCCCCTCGCCGACGCTTTCCTAGGTACGAGGGAGGGAAGCCTTGCGGACACGGTGTAACTGAATCTTACTCTCTTTTGAAAGACACGAAAGAATAAAGTTCGCAACTTTCAGCGATGGTGGTACTGCGGTGTGAAAATCACGCACCCTAGTTCCTGGATGTTAGGCCTTCGAATGAAGGCACTTGCTTACCCCTTTTTGACTTGAAGGTGTCAGGTATGACTCTTATATTGCTCGTATTTCACAAAATTAGGATTTCTTGCGCGTCGCAGATCCAAATCTCGTACTGCTGTTCTACGGCGATCGTCCACACGACAGTCATTTTGATAGGAACTAGCGCGCCCCCTAGGCCGTGAAAGTTGTGATTATGTAGGGACAAAGACAGACAATACAGTTAGGTACTTCAACTAGCAACCGACATTTGATAGTGCCACCCTCAGTGTGTTAGCTCTTCTTTTCCCTGATCCCTAGTGTCTCAAAAAAAGAAAACCCTCGGAGAAAAAAGAAAAAAGAGTAAACCCGGGTGAAAGAAAAGTTTGTTAAGGAACTGTTAAGGTAATGTTGCTGTTAAGGAAAAAGAATGAAAAGGAAGTACCGTATTTTCCGGGCTATAGTCCGCACCCGGTGTATAGTCCGCAGGGATGAGTTTGCGGTCAGAAATGAAAGTTTTTGCTTGGGTAGTCTGCATGCGGTGCACAGTCTGCACTTAGTGCCTGATCCGAAAGTAAACTTTATCATACACAGCACACCTCGACAAATGCCTGCTTTATTATTTCACAAAGAAGCTTGTATCATACATAAATCACTATTAATATATACTCTGTTGTACTCATAAAATCTTTCGTGTCTTGCCACAGAGAGTGATCCAGAAAAGTACAAAACCTTGTATAGTCCACATCTTTAGATAGTCCGGGTAAAATTTCAACTTTTAAACATGTACAGTCCGCAGCCTATAGTCCAGAAAATATGGTATAACAAAAGAAAGAGAGTTAACAAATGGGAAACGAAAAAGGAGCATTATGGAATCTCGAAGTGAGCTGACTACTTTAACTGTTGCCTCACAAAACTCTATTTCAGTCTTGGATAACCTGACGGAAAGCAAGGCAAAGTTCAAATCATCACCGGCCCTCTGACAGGACTCAATTACTTCTCTGCCGATTCCGTCCTTTTGTTTCCCGATCGCTCGGGCTCTATGGAAGTGCGGCTCACAGTTCAAAGAAATGCAGTTATGCTCCACCGTAGGGTGAAGGAAGTCACTGCGTGCTCGGGTTACTTCGAGGAAGTGCTCCCTGAGGCGAGTGTTGAGGCATCTGCCAGTCTGTCCAATGTACTTATCTCCGCAGAGAAGGGAGTGCACCACTTGCTCTGCAGGGGACAACCAAGTTGGCATGTTGGATGGAAGGAACAACCTTTCGAGGCACTGTTGTTGTTGACCCTTTTGCTGAGTTGTTTGAGGTGCATCTTGCACAAGAAAACAACAGAAGTATCAAAGTGCGTCTTGATGGCCTTCAAGCGGTGAGCAGAGTTACGGACATGAGGGATGGCAACTACACGTGAAGCCTCCTCTGGGAGAATGAGAGCTTCCGGAATCTAATATTAGACGAATGAGGATGGGAGTTAGAAGATTGGTCGGTTACCCACCCTTGAGGAGGCGTTCCTGCTGTGTTGCTATTCTGCACGCATCTAGGTGGTCACAGGACTTAGCACAGGAAGTGATAAAGAGGGACCGAATGACTCTATGCTTGAACATTTTAGGTTGAGAACTGCAAAAAGGGAGAGCAGTTATTTTTGTATGTTGTTGGAAAATCCAGCATAGACCGAAGGGGAGAAGATGAAGAGGAAGGTCTAGGTAGTCTCTGGAAAAATTTAGGCCTGACAGTTTGGAAATGAAGGCATCCACAATATAATTAGAAGAGACCAAGTTCTTTCTCCCAGGCTTCTTGTTTTTTTTTTGTTTTTTTGGCGGGTTTTCTTCTTTTTCTGAGGGATTTGCGGTCAGGGATGGAAAGGACCTGTTTTGTAATGATGTATAATTTTTCATGCTATAAAGATATATTAATTTATTATATTATTGAGGGTGGCATCATTAAATGTTGGTTGCTAGTTTAAAGAACTGTACTGTCTTTCTTCGTCCCTTGATGTGTTATTTTGTGTTTTCAAAATCGTCTTGACAAACCCACTGTAAGTTCATTTTCCTTACTCTGTCCCAGCGTTCCTTTTATCTTGACTGCAGAAAAGTCATTTTTGGGAGGGGAAACTTTTCCAAAAGTTTCCAGGAAGCTGGGGAAGGAGGGAAGCAGAGTTTCTAGAGAAGGTTGAAGAAAAAGTTTGGCAAAAGTTGCCCGAAAGTTTGGGGATACCTTTTCCTCAAACGTCTCCCAAAGTTTGGGGATGAAGTTTCTCCAAAATATCCTTAAAACTTTAGGGAGAAAGTTTCCCCAGCATGTTCCAAAGCTTTCATAGAAACATTTCGTTGGAACGAATGAGCTTGTCCAGGAGTGAACTTGTGATCTACGTAGATTTGACCCGCACAGTTTTGCCACTTCGGCATTTTTAGTGTCAACTGCTCTTTGGTTACTATAACACAACACTAAAGCAAGGAGAGAAGTTTGAAAGCTCAGTGAAGCAAATGTTCTGTTTTAGAGCGCAGCTCTTAGGGGCCCGTTTCCGGCTTGAATGGCGTCACTGTCGGCGTAACCGCAAGGTCACGTGACCCCCCCCCCCCCCCTGCTCGGAGGAGATTGAAGAATGAGGGGAGGAGAAGGAGGACGAGGAGAGGTATACCCTCCCCTCAGTACCCTTCCCTCCTCCTCCTCAAGAGCTGCACTCTAATTCGGCATTACAGAAAGTTGTAAACGGCTCTGACTTTTTTTTTTTTTTTTTGTTCTTATTTATTGGGCATTTTTGTGCTTTCTCTATTGTCTGTTGCTGATGTTGCTTCAGGGGTGAGTTGTCAACTGTGTTTGAGCCTTACTGCCGTGCTGATCCAATCTGCTTGACTGCAGAGATGACGTTCCTGATTCCGAGTCCCGAGCAGCTGACTGAGGCTCGGGTGGAGGCCCTGATGTGCCCGACATCGCGCAGGTTCGACTCGCTGCCCGCCGAGACACGCCAACTCAAAGAGGGTGAGAAGCCACAGACGGGAAAAAAATATCCCAAACACATTGTTTGTATTGCTCCAGTGCTCAGCATCAACCCTGTGGAAAGAATTGTGCGTCAAAATGTTGTCAGATACTTGTGCAAAGCCGCTGGGGCATACTTCAGTACCAACCAGATTATTTTTCGGGCTTGTTTTTTTTCTGCTAGTTTTGACGGTACGGTTGTTTCATTCGGGTTTTAAGGTTTGCATCTGAGGGGCTATATTGTTATCTGTAAACTTTTTTGTTCGTGGACTGTTTAAAATTCTCTTCACCTTTAACGACGTGATATTGACCTGGGTGGGATGCGCCCAAGACATTTTTGTGGATGGGTGATGATTCGGCGTTTTTTGTAGGAAATTGAAGTTCTGTCTACAGAAAGTGGATGGGCAACATTTCGCGACTGGTGGTCTAATCGGGGCGTTGCCACATGTCAAAGGTGGTAATATTCGAGTGTAGGTTTTTGGGTCCTAAAACTTGTGCACATAAAAAAATGATTTTTTGCAAGTCTGTATGTGCTTAGGTTCTTTCCGGGTCATTCTACTTTTGTCTTTGTGCCATGCTAGGGCTGCTCTGATGCTATAGGTGTTTAAATATAGAAAAGGCGAAGAAAGCGCTGTAGTAGTCACAACTTTGTTGTGTTGGAGCGGCTGACCCTGTGTCAAGTGTAACACTTTTATTTACCACGTTTGAGTGAAATTAAGAACTTTATTTTGAGAAATCGGTGCTTGAGTTCGCAAACTTCTTGCTTCAAGGCTGTTCTTCTTTCTCACTTGACAAGCGTTCCTCAAGTGCTCGCCAGACCAGGAGGCTCCAGTGATCGTCTGCATCTCCAAGATGGTGGCCGTAGAATCTCAATTGCTGCCTGAAAACAGAATGAGGTAATCTGGGGCGCGCATCGCGGCTGCCAGATGAAGTCCTCTTCTCGCCTCGGTTGCAAGCGGCACCACCAAATTTCTTTTCAATAATCGGCCACTGGCAGGCTGTTGCGGGCCAACTTTTTCATGCTTCTCTATGGGAGACATGCTTGTTTTTAAAGTTGTTTTCGGGGTATTCCGCGTCACGTCGGACTTAGCGCTTGCGCTACTCATGTTGCTTAGACACAGCTTCGCCATTGACCCTAGTTTCATGCCTTAACGCCGGCAAGAACACTTCAATGAACGCATTGAAGTAGAGCGATCTCTGGCGCGGTGTTCAAGCCAGCATCCTTCGAGGTTGGAGCAGGTGCGCCGAGCGGAAAAAACACGCACAGAGCTGCCATGGATGCAGCCACTCTTTTTTATTTTTGTTTGTTTCCTTTTTTTTTTTTAGTTGTGCCATCTGGCTGGTGGAGATGCCGTCGGAATAGGCTACTCAGGTGCTCGCCAATGGGACTTTATCTGGTCGATCGTGTCACAGCTTTTGCCGTGCTCCGTTCCCACACCTACATATGGTGCCGGCTACTCATTGTTCATGTGCGTCTCACCCACGTGCACCTCTTCTGTGGAGAGGATGCCCCATAGTGTGAGCGCTGTGACGCCCCTTTAACCATCTCGCACATCCTCCATGAGTGCTCCGAGTATGACCAAGAATGCTTTAAGAATTTTTTTGCAAATACGCTAAGAACATGCTCTACTTTACTTAGTCACTTTACTTGGCGATGTGCTGCTGACTCCACACACTTGCATGTTTATTTTTCTTAATGATATCGGCCTTGTGCACCGACTAATTTTAATTCATACTTCGAGCCCATGTCTATCATGGTATACACTTATACACATTTCATGTTCGTAGTTTTAGCACATTACCAGCTACTACGGTTCTTTCTTCTTCCCAACCCTTGCTCCTATAATTAGTTCATACAATTGGAGCATCTTGGTCTCAGCAGTCCTTGTGCCGTAAAACCACAATCAGCCAACCAAGCAACCACACCTATATATATCCTACACCGTGGGCTCGGCTCACTGTTTCTCTTTAGAAATGAAGTCATCTACGCTTCATCTCAAGAATTCCGTGCAATGTTGGAGAAGACACGGCGCTTGACCTTGAGGCTTGAACAAGTGCTCGTGCTTGAACGAGATTCAAAAAAATACTTATAGTCGGCAACATGTTAAGAATTCAGGGGAAATTCCTCCCACCTCTTTCCACTTTAAGGGGTAAGGAAACAAAAACTGAAATATTCAAATTTTGTTTGGAAATGAGTCAAGGATGACGGATAATAACCGTAAATGATAATCGCATGTTGGTATTTTGAACGATTGGCTATATTTTTCGTTCCAAACGGTGCACTCGAGCGAGCGCTCAAAGAGAAGCGAACGGAGAGCGCGATGCGTCATGGGATGTCCGGTGCAAACAAAAACAGAAAGACAAGATTCCCCGCATTCATGACATAGCAAGGCAGGCATAGTTTTGAGCTTTGCCCTTGGTGGCGTTGTCAGCGTTGTGGTGGTGTCAATAGCGTCGGCGCGTTACAACCGATCCGTTCAAAATACTCGTGGGGTGACGAGCGTGTGGCTGGCCTAAGGAGCACGTAGCTTCCACAACACTGTCAGCTTAGGGCTGAACGGGGTGGGGAAAGCAGCTTTTTATTTGAGTTTTGAGCGATGGGCTAATCTTCTAGGGGGAGAATGGCTGTGTCCGGTTGCACGAACGAGGGTCCGAGGAAGCAGGGAGTCTTTCCTTTTCGTCTTCTTGGACCGTTTGGTACATTGCGCGACTTGTGAGTTGAGGAGGAAAGCTAAGGGGGAAAATGTTGGAATGCCAAAGAGGGGCGCTGCTCCGAAGGAATCTGCTACGTCATGACTACGTAGCAAGTTCCCCAACATTGCTAGATTAACCTGCCAAATAGGCTCCGCACGCATCCACCAGGTGCACATTGAAAGATTGTTTATTTAGCTTTAAAATTAGTTTTCTTGTGCCTTTCAACGAAAGACTGGTGTTTTTGAGGTTAGGCTGCAACATGCAACACATTCAAGCTAGAAAATGAGCGCTGGAATTTCGTTTCCCTATCCCTTTAAGCAGGGTGAATGTTGTAGACAAGGTCACCCCCTCTGTGTACACAGACGTTTGAGGAGCTTCCCCTGAACCCTTCACCTGTTACGGACTAAGCGGAGTGCAAGTTTGTCTGCTTCTTGCACGAAGGTTGCGATGATGTCAGAACGCCAAGCTTTTATTGGCTGATTGAAAAGAATAGTGAGTAGACCTCAAGGCATCTAGAATAGAGGTCAAACCACTATCCTTTCAGTTGAAGCCAACCAGAGCTCGACGTCGTTCTGACTTCGCCCAACTCCTGCGCAAGAAGCAGACGACTTGCTCTCCGCAGATGAGTTTTTGTTCAAAGTAAGCGTTCCCCAGAGATCCTTTCCTCAAAAGCCTGTCTGCTATGAACTGAACTGTTAGTTGCATTAGCTTAAACTACAAGATCCCATGCCTCAATGACAAGTTTTTTTTCGTACTGTAGGCCCAAGCTGCTGAGCCCGGAAGAAATTGCAAAGCGGAGAGAGGAGGCACGGTTGAGGCACGCTCAGCGGATGGCAGTCCAGCAGGCATCATCTGCCGAGCCACAACCTAACGAAGTCCGAGATAACGGCCTGCAGGAAAATGGCAGCAGCAACGGTTAGTGGAAGGTCTCACATCAGATATGCTGAGGCAACTACAAACAGGGACTCAGATTTCTTTCCTGGAATTACACCTCCCTGCTCTAACATTGTCTAAACAGGCTTAAGCGACAGTCACGCAAACACATTGGCATCGTTTAGTAAATTACCTGGTCCAACATTTATATTACGTTTCCTTCTCGTCATATTGCAGCTGCCAGGTTGTCGATCTGATCGACGTCAACTTTTGAAGCATCCGAGTTTAAAAAAAGAAAATGTAATTACCGTATTTTCCAGTGCATAAGTCGCGGTTCCTTTCCCAAACTTCTGTCGGTGTGTTTTGTACAATGGTGTGAGGTGCAGGTTTCTTTATGTAAGTACTGACTTTTAAAGAGGCAATGCAACAATTTTAGCTTCAAACAAATGTGCAGTTTTTTTTAGATGGAGATGGAGAAACTGCCTCCTCCTTTTGAAATATTGTGATTCTGGTGCGTAATAGCGAAGCAAAAAACGGGAATATTTGTCATTTGCAGCCGCGAGTGGTGGTCATGGGAACTGAGGCATGGCACCAGCCTGGGTGCATTGTAATAAGTTAGCGAGATGTGCTATTATGTGCTCAATCTAATGCTATCTTTTATCATTATCATTGTTTCAACATGAGTAAATGCATCAAAAGCTTTGTATCGTCGGCAAGATTGTACTCTATTCAGATTTAGTGACGCCATCTGCCCAAGGTGAGCAAAACCATTACTCTTGAGTCTCAACCCGTCGCTACTACATGAGTCCGACTTCCTAACAGCAAGGCAAGCGCTTTGTGCCCTCCCCCTCTCTCTCCCCCTCTTCACATTGCTGAGACCAACCTTCAAAGTTTGCCGTGTGAATTGCAAGCAGAGGCAGCACACCCAAAAGGCTCTGAAAGAAAATCCAACCGGACGCTCTGTCTCCTCAGTGCACCGGCTACGCATCACTGCACACGTGACTCGAAGACTGTGTAAGAGTTGACAGTGGTTGGGAGGCACCCTAAACTTTCAGTTGCTTGAGAATTTTCGTAAAAAAGAACTAACGCGGGCAGGCAAAATCGACTTTCAGTTCTTTACTTCAGACGTGACGGGGAGCAACTCCCGCAATTCTTTGACCGACGTTCAGATATTGTTGCACGGGCCCCTTTAACAGTCCACGTTTTTCGCGAAGGTTTTATTTCTCATTTGATTTGATGGCGAAATTATTTGAAGCTGGCTGCCGCTTGTGCATATACCGCCGTCGCAATACACCAAGGTATCCAAGCCTATCAATGCAACTCTACCGTGCCAACCATACAAAGTAGTGCAATTCATGCAAAGATGTGCCTTATAGACCAGAAAATACGGCATCTAGTTTTCGGCAAAATTGAGTCATGCTCCCAGCACGATCTTTCGGTGCCGAACGAGGAACTTGTTGCGTTAAAAATGTTTGGAACGATGGCAGAGCTCCACTTTGAGACTGCAGCGAGTTGTCACTTTGTGCTAGGTGGTGACACAGAAGAAGACAAGGTGGAGGAGTCTTTCGTGGCGTTTGCACGGGTGTTCAGTGGCACGCTGCGGAAGGGCCAGCAGGTCTACGTCCTCGGACCCCGGCACGACCCCGCTCGCTTTCTCGAACAGGTGAGCGTAGGACTTCGTTGTTCGTACGACTTGCAGAGGAAAAATAATATTGCGATATATACTAAGGTTTACAAATTTGCCCCTTTCATTCGCTTTTGCGGCAAAGGCAGCGGCGACACGGAATGTATCGTGCGTTCCTTTGCAACGATTTTGCGCAAAGGAAATCGGTGCGCATTTTGATGGCAGGAACATCGTTGCGCGTGGTGTTTCTGCAGGAAGGCCCCGCCAAAGCTTGCACGCCGGCGAGAGTGGAAAGCAATATATTTGCGACTCGTGGTGACGCACACACCCCAAACATTTCTTGGTTTCTCCCGAAGTTTGCGCTCGTTCCCTTCCTTCCTGTCTCCTGCACGCTCTCCCACATGTGAACACGTTCGCCTAGTGCGTGTGTGATGTTACGCGACTGTGACACCATGCGACGTCACATGACGTTAGGGTGTCGCGTGGCATCTTGACCTATCTATGCGTCAATCGAGCGTGACAGGTCACTTTTTCTCGTAGAACCCAACCCCATAAAGGATTATGCGCCAAAAACTTCAATAACGTAGGTCATAGTTTTGGATAATGATGCACAATAGAAGCTCGCGTCCGGGACGACGCTTGAAGTCGCAACTTCTGTTCGGAGAAAGAAGCGAGAAGGAGCCAGAAGCGACGTCTCGAAGCATTGCGGGGATAAGAGCTTCTGTTTTGTGTTATATCACTCGCGAGTCCTGGTTATTCGGAGGTAGGTTCTCATATTTTGAAAGAAACGGAGAACCGAAAATGGAAAACCTTAGTTGGCGGCTTGTTAGGGCATCTTTCTTCCACCGGGTGAGACAAACCACCCGTGACGTCTCCCTCTGCAGGGGTGTCGGGTGGACCCTGAGCGCAAGCTGAAGGACCTGGGCGCCCAGGAGCACGTCACCGTCGTCACGGTGGACAGACTGTACCTGCTCATGGGCAAGGAGCTGGAGGAGCTCGACTGCGTGCCCGCCGGAAACATCCTGGGTGAGCTATGCGCAAACGATTTCCCAAAAGTTTCTGGGGATAAAAAAAGCCACGTTTTCCGAGCTTGTCGACGAGTGACAGAATCAATTACGGAACACCAGTCTCGCTCTCGAAATTTCGCCGCACTGTTGTGGGAAAACAGAAGCGTCTGGCAGCAGTCATTGCTCTTGTTGGCACGGATGCACAATCTACTCTCGATTCGAAGCTTGCGGGGACGGCAAGACACTTCGAATCGAATATACTTCGAACTAAAAGGAAACACACTCAAACCATTTGTTTTTTCGTTTGGTACTCACCGAAATAAGATAGGTTTCCGCTTGCCTCAGCTAACACAGACGCGCGGTATTAACTACCTTAATATTCCCACAGATGCCCCACCCCTAATAGATAGATGAAAAAAAAAAAACATATTTTTGGCGTAATTTGTTATTTTTTCAAAAACACCGAAATATAGTTTAGTACTAGGGATTGCAGGGCCCGGCCAGCGGTGATCTCATCAGAAATGTTGTTACTTAGACGCGGCGTTTTCTGTATCAGCGGTGCTCGGCCGCTCGGCACGAAAAACGATGCGGTCGTTCCTAGGCCTAACCAGCTGCATGACGTCACTGTCCGAAAGCGAACTACAGACCACGGAACGTTCATTGAGATCAGTGCATACGATGAACAAAACATCTCGTAGGACTGAGTAATGCCTCGAACCAAGCTTCGTTGGCCGTACGCACCACGTGACTGTGCTCGCTTCCGTAACTCCCGCGGGAATGACACCACAATGCGCGCGCCCACAACCAGGCTGGCTTGGCTTGACTTAAATGCTTAATTGACTTGGCCACTTGGCGGCTTGTTTGCGTGCCACACCCATTCCCTTTTTCGCTCTATCGTGCGCATGGCAGACAGAGCTTACGCGGGTGCGGTTTAAGCTTGGTCGGCATAATAGCGAGGCTTTTTTGTGGTCCCAACATTGCCAGATTTCTCCAGCACAAAAAAATATATATCCTTTAAATTAATTGGTTTTAGAGAATAAACTTGGAATAATCGCACATTTTTTTTTCCATAGATTTGTATGCATAATTGCCGTGTCCGTGCCTCTTCATCGAACAAAACAAAATTTCAAATCGAGTGACTTTGAATTACCGAGAGTCGACTGCAGACGGGCGTTGTACACTCCATTTCGCCTTGCGGTGGACCACGGAGGACGCTGCAAGCTACGCCAATCCAATGGCGCACGAGTGTTGCGTGATCTTGGGGAGCGGCACAGCGACACGCGGGTAATGACGCTATACAGTGACGGCACCGGATTGGCCGGGATGGTTTCTGCGGTTCGTCGCAAGTCGAAACAAAGTACGGCGGCATATGGTCCCGTAATCACTGCGCCCCACGGTGCACCTTACAGACCCCAAGCTAACACGTTTGCTGCGAGCCAGTGCAGTAAAACAAGCTTACTAGCTAATGGAATGGAGCCATTTACGCTAACTGGCTAAATTCCTAAGCTAGTGCTAATCATTTAGCCGAGACGCGACTCCCCTTCATAGCGCTATAGTACCTGGAGCACATCTCCGACCGGCGTGACATGCCGCCTGCTGTGATGTCGTTCGTTGCCGCTCCGGGACCGCTTTCAACGTAGGGCTGGAATGGGACGACAAACACGCCAGTCAGAGACGCACCCCGGGGCACCGTAGCAGTGCTCCTCACCCTTTTCCCGAAGCTTAGCAGTTTTCGTGACCCCGTCGTCCCTCTGGGCACGTGTCCAGGCATCGGCGGCCTGGAGGAGCACGTCGCCCGCACGGGGACGCTGTCCACGTCCGGCGCCTGCCCGTCGTTCGTGGAGCAGCGGTGCCTTGTGACGCCGATCCTGCGGGTGGCCCTGGAGCCCCGGCGCCTGGGGGACCTCGGGGCCCTGGTGCGGGGACTCAGGCTGCTCCACCAGGCGGACCCCTGCGTGCAGGTGCTCCTCCAGGAGAGCGGGGAGCACGTGCTCCTCACGGCCGGGGAGGTGCACCTGGAGCGCTGCGTTACGGATCTCGTTCAAAGGTGACCGGCGCTTTTCCGCACCCTCGGCGAGGGCCGACGTTACTAGATCGACTTGGTTGCAAAACTCCTGCGAAAAAGCGAACCCCGCTCCTCAAGGCTGCCGTCCGTCGTTTGAGGCGTCACCTATTGTCCCTGAGGGAGTGAGAATGGCCTCCATCCCGCGCTTCGTGTCTGGCTGCACACGTGCACTCGAGGTGCAAGCAATGCCAAAGCATTGTCAAATGTAACAAGCTGACGCTGGAGGAGAAACAACAAAAGCTCCTCCCTTCCGTTCTCACCTCGTGAATGACTACAGTTGCAAAACTCGCTGGGAGAAGTGAACCCTCCCCCCAGGGCCGCCATGAAATGTGCCTTAGTTTGATGGTGTTTTCAACTGCGCGATCGGGGAGCACATACTAGTTCATAAGTTGCACTTGCATTAAAAGCTGCGAGGAGGTGACGGATATGTCGATCGTCTGAAATAGTCTCCACCTCTCTGCTCTCATTCCTCGTCACATTGTCGCGCTCACCGCGCGACAATGTGACGTTTGCGCACTTGCGACCAATCCGCGCAGGAGGCATCCGCCGTTATATTGCAGATTCTTTCTACGATGCGAGTTGCTCCCTCTCTTAAATCTAGGCTCTGTACAGTCATCCATCGTTCAAAGCATCGTCTAGAGACCGATTCAAACCTATTAATGCGAAAGCGTTAACTGTCTCATGGAGCGAAGCCAGCGTCGTCTGTAGCCATGGTCTGTAGGAACAAAAACGGCACTTCAATTGTTATTGGCCAAAAGCACAGCAACGCAGACACTTCGTCACGGAAGTTGACAGGGCACTCAATTTTGAAGCGGACCTGCCGCAGGAATAAAACTAAAAGAAAAACACAGCAAAACAGATGCATCGTCTTGGAAGCCGTGGAGCTGGCAGGGCACCGCGCCTGAGCAGTGGGGGAGCGTGATGTCATCGCCGGAGTGCTGTGTTAAAAGGAAAGACGTGGTGCGCTCCTGGTAGGAATGCGCTGCATGTAGGAATGCTTTCACATTCCTACACGTGAGCAGTCTTAAATGTTTTTGTTTATTTTTTAACTTTTTTCTTGAGAAGCTACACTGAAAAGTTATCTAGTTTGTGATGTTCCAAAACCCGTGTGTTCATTCGAGTTGCCGTTGCAGCCATCTCCAAACCCACGGTACTTCCACTGACGGGTGGCAAACCTTTTGGGAGGGAGAGGGAGTACTGTGCGAAGTACCAGCATTTGTGGACAGTTCCGCAACCGAGTTGATCTAATAATGTTGGTTAAGACTCGAGCGAGTGGCTGGTGTACGCTCACCGCATTGCACCACGTCTGTGTTTGAGTGGTGCTCGGCCGTGTGGCATTCTTTGATGACAACTTACAGTGAGAGAACAGCTCACTGGCACCATTGCAGACACACTGATGTGTAGGCAGTATACCATAATATCCGGGGAGATGCCCCACCCCCGAAAGATAGCCCACCCCCTATTTTTGGCATGATTTGCTATTTTTTGCTGAACACCAAACGGTAGCCCACTTTTAGTAATTTCAGAACCTTGGCCAATGGTGACCTTCGAAAAAATAGTGTTATATACTTAACCACGGCGGAAGATGAGCGAACATTGCTGACTGTGAAGAACAGTCATCTTTGGTTCATCGCTCCTTCCTGCGATCACAAGTTTCGAGGGTTACAAAAACTAGAGCTAGCATTTCTTTAAACCTTTTTTTTATAGCACACCGAAAGTTAGCTTAAGCGCGAAACACATGTACGACGAAACTGTCCGATCCGACATGCGGACTGCCGGAATGACCTTGGGGGAGAGGGTTTTCAAGCACCAGAGAGCGTTGAAAACCCTTGCCTCTGACCATCGTATTGCCTGATCGGATGTCGGTTCGGACGGTTCCGTCGTACATGTGTTTCGCGCTTTACCCATTATTTTCGTCCGATTTGCTATTGATTTTAGGTGGGCTATCTCTTATGATATGACGGTAGGATGCTAGCACATCAATGAGATGCAATTCATGCATTTGCCGCCAAGATCTGATTAAAATGGCATGTGCGCAAATAATAGATTTTAAGTACAAAGCGAATTAGAAATGAATGGTGGTTTTGGTCGAATATTTTTTAATTAAATATTGAATAGTTCCTCCAAGCCTTTCACTACCGTGCACCAGGATTAAACTAAAATTGAGCTGAAGTCTTGATGATTGCTCCCAGCAATCTGCTTGTCCACTTTTAAGCTCAGTTAAGTTTAATATAACTACTATATTTATGAACTGTGGCATGTAAACGACGAATTTGTTGCAGCTAACCCTAAATGAAGGAATTTATAAATTTTTTGCTATATGCAAATATTATTTCTAGGGGTGTGCGAATATTCGAAACTTCGAATACTTCACGAATAGTGCCCGCTATTCGATTCGATTCGCTTCGCACTTTTACTGTTCGAAGTATTCGAGTTCTTCGAATATTCGAAAACTACGAATAACTCGAAACTCGCTGGTAAGTCCCAAATCGCGGTCACGTTCCCAGTTTGTTTTTGGGCTGCGCAGTATAGTTTCGAACTTGGCAAACCCCAAAAGCCAACCTAAGTGCCTTTTTTTGGTGTTATTTCTTGTACGAAGCAATGGAAGTGGAAATTATATGCACGCGGTAGCGCGATCTGACCTTCGCTTTCTGCGATATCTGGATTGCGGAGATGGCCCAGTGGTAGTGGCGCAAACATGTACGGAGCCATCGCTGCGATAAATTTGATAAAGGGCTACGATTTGCAAGGGCACGTACATCGTCGTGAGCTCTAACGCCACGGACTACAGCCACACACTCACGTGCACTCACAACTGAACGACTGGCCCACTGGCCTACAGGGCCAAGGGGCCAAAGTGCTATGAATTTGGATATGGATTACGGCTTACTTTCGGGGATAATTTGTACAGTTGTTACCGTCGTTGCCATGATGGATCATGCCACTCGAGTTATTTTCAGCTTGATTTTCTGATTAATCAGTTTTCCAGTATTCATTTTATTTCTACCCGTTTTCACCGCTCAAAGTGAGACTTGCTCCCTCAGCTGCCTCAGCCGAAAAATAGCTTTATAGCTTCTTCGTGGCGCCCTCTCTCGGCACAACTATTGCACACGAAAATATATTGCGCAAGGTTAGTTCTGCAGGAGGCTGTGGTGGCCGCGAGGCGCACGTTTTCATCCCTCGTGTCGTGTGCCATGCTTTACGTTCACGTGGTTGCGCTCGTCTGTGTCTGCTGGTGCTTGAGCTTGATGGAGCCACGACAGAAATCGTCAGGAACTCAACAACCACGGCGGAGTACACAACCTCCTGCCAGCACAAGAAGTCCCGTATGGACCCATTTCCGAAAAGTTTGCCAGGGTGAAGCTGTCTGCAACCTTTGCGAAAGCTCACTGCGAACCCCATCAGGCACGACCACTACTCTCGTGAACCATTTGAAACGGCACGCCAATCAGTATGCGGAGTTTCAAGCAGCTGCTAAAGTCAAGCCTGCTAATCAGCCAAGCATTGCTGATGTGTTGAGAAAAACGGCACTGCCGCAAGCGAAACGGGAGGCTTTGGACCTGAAGATTGCCAAGATGGTTGCGCTCGACCTGCAACCGTACACGATTGTGCAAGACCGGGGATTCCGGGATTTATTAAAGGAGGCAGTCCCAGGTTACCTGCCACCATCGAGAACAACGCTGTCGCGCACGTTAGTGCCGAAGTTGTACGACGACACTAGAAAGAAGGTTCGACTTGAACTACAGAATGCGTTCGAGAGTGGCATGGAGTCTCTCTCCTTCACCTCTGACATGTGGACGTCCAGAGCGAACGAAAGCTACATCAGCCTGACCTGCCACTTCCTGGACTCGCAGTTCAAGCTCACTCGCTACAACTTGAGCACCTGTCACTTCCCAGGCAAGCACACATCAGCTAGAATTGCCTCAATTCTTGATAAGCTTGTCACAGACTGGGACATTCCCAAGGACGTTTGCCCTTTTTACGTGGTGACTGACAACGCTCGCAACATCAGAGCAGCCACTCATGCACTTCCTTGGTGTGAAAGAACTTGTTTTGCTTATACCTTACAACTAGTCATCAGCGACGCGAAAGAGATGACTCCAGGACTTTCTGTACTTTGTAAAAAAGCAAGAGGCATTGTTGGGCACTATAAACATAGCCCAAAAGCTCAGGAAAGGCTCAACTGCTACCAAAAGAAAATAGGCAGATCCCCCCTGCATGTTGTTCAGGACATTGAAACAAGGTGGAATAGTGAATGTGCAATGCTGTCCAGGCTTTTAGAGTTAAGAGAAGCAGTAACCGTTGACCTTGCATCTGAAGCGGGGTCAATTGAAGGCTTTACCGGAACAGAATGGAAGGAAATGAGTGATTACGTTGCTACTCTGAAGCCACTAGAAGAAGCAACGACCAATGCTGGAGCTGACAGCTACCCAACCTTGTCAGCCCAAATACCCATCTTGTATTGCATCCTTGCATGCAATATGCTCCATCAGCCAGCAGACCATAACTTCCTCGTTCTCATCTAACCTGGCCAAGTGCCTCAAGACAAGATTTCCTGACTACAAATTTGACCAAGTAGCCAGCTTGGCAATGCTCCTAGACCCAAGGTTCAAGGCAGTGGTCTACGAAGAGGACAGGTCGATGGGGAACTGGCTGAAGAACCTGGGAGTTGAGGAAGCGCAAAAAATCCCTGAGACACAAAGAAGCGCAGGGGTGTCCTCGGAGACAGCGGCCCCTGAAGTTCCGTCCAGGTCAGCGCTGTGGCAAAACTTCGACAGCCTCATTAAACAAAAGCAGCATTCAATGACACAAGCTGAAGAAGAGGTTGCGAGCTACTTGCATGAAGACGTCCTGGCCCGGGAAGAGGATCCTTGCAAGTGGTGGTGTGAGAAGGGTGCCACAAGATACCCCCTGTTGGCTCGACTTGCAAGAAGGTACCTAGCCATACCAGCCACAAGTGTGTCTAGCGAGCGCCTGTTTTCAGTGTCTGGGGGAATTGTGACCAGCAGAAGAGCATCACTGCTCCCAGAACATGTGGAACAACTTACATTTCTTCATGACAACATTCTGTAACTTCATACTCTGAATCGTGTTTTACTAGTATTACTTTATCTGTCTTTTTATCAGTCACATGTGTGACATTTTTTTTATTGCCATAATAAAGTTAACCTTTTTGTAATTACGTTTGCTGAAAAAGAATTCCCAGTTCGTTTTTGATAGAGTATCCTTGGTTGATTCACATCAAATAAAAAATATTCGTATTCGAAAATATTCGATTCGATTCGATTCGTAACCTTTACTATTCGATTCGATTCGCTTCGAAATATTTTGATATTCGCACACCTCTAATTATTTCTTTAACTTCAAATTTGACAAAAAAAACAACAAAAAAAAACAAGCACAAATGTGGAGTGCGGGTTGTCAAGACATCACTGCCTCAACGTTCTTTTGCATAATCGCGGCGGGTTAGCCTCGTTGAGTGCGCTTCTCCTCAAGCACAGGTGCACTGCGGCTAAGCAATACCCGCGAGCTCTGCGGGTGTTGCTTCCCCGCAGTGCACAGGTGATTGGTGAGAAGCGAACTCAACGAGGCTGACCCGCTGTGATCAACACTTCGAAAAGTATGAATATCGCAGTTTATTTCAAAGTGAATATTGAGCAGCGTAATATTTTAAACTACTTTTGAAAACTCAAATATTCGCACCTTACTAAGAAACTTTTTTGTCATGCCCCAGTCGATGCGACTGACATATTGATTCTTGATCACATTCAAAGGTTTGCCAAGGTTGAAATCAACGTCTCGGATCCCATCGTCCCCTTCCGAGAAACTATCGTGGAACCGCCAAAGGTGGATATGGTCAATGAAGTCATAGAGGATAAGAACTTGCTCCAGAAATCTTCAAAGGTTGGTCATTTTCGTCAGATTGATTCATGCCTAGAATGCTTTTTTTTTATCCTATTACTAAAGTTATTCGGATAAGCAAACAGATGTCCTATTTCAACAGGAAACAGATGAAGACATTGACGCGGACGGTACGGTAACTGTGCACACAGCAAACCGTCAAGTCACCATCAAGTTGAGAGCCGAACCGCTGCCTCAAGATGTGACCGAGCTCCTCGAAAAACATGGCTCTCTGATCCGAGACTATGATCAGGCATTGTCTTCCAGAAACCAGGAGCTTCCAGAGACATTAAAGAAAACAATTTCTGAATTTCGGCAAGCTCTCGTAGAAGCTTTTGCAGAAGCCGGCTGGCCAAAAGAAACCGTGAACCAGATCTGGTCAATGGGGCCACGACGGTGCGGTCCAAACATCTTGTTAAACAGGGTACCCGGTTTTCAAAAACCAGCACTTTTTGGCAAGGACGTCATCCAACACAAACAACCAGTGTCACAAGAAAAGAATTCCCCCTGCGCAGAACGAAGACCCTTGCCTGCAGAAGTTACCGTAACGATGTCTGAAGATGGCGACAAGAGTGGTCGCCATCTTCACCTTCCAGAGGATCATGAGCATGTTGAAGACAGTCTGCAAGACAGTGTACCTCAGTTTAAAGATCTTGCACATCAAGAAAACGATCCTGGGCTTCCAGTGACGACCAATGGTGTGAGCAGCAGTAGAAAGACATTAGCTGACTTTGACAACAGCTTTGTCAGTGGGTTCCAGTTGGCCACTCTGGCAGGGCCTTTGTGCCAGGAGCCCATGATGGGTGTGGCCTTTGTGGTGGATGAGTGGCTTCTAGACTTGTGCGTGGAGGACCCTGGAACTTATGGTCCATTGTCTGGACAGATCATCTCTGCTGTCAAGGAAGGCTGTAGGAGGGCCTTCCAGGCACAACCACAGAGACTCCTCTGTGCCATGTACAGTTGCAGCATCCAAGCGACTTCAGACGCATTACGTGAGTACTGTCACGTCTTTCTGTCACCTGGTCTTTGTAATCAGTTTTTTAAACAAAAAGGGTGGGCCGGCACGCTTAGTTTTTTTACAGCGGAGTTGTTAAGGGCTAGTTTCCCCAGGATCGTGTCCGGTACCAAACAAATGTCGACACCAGTGGCCGACACAACACTTTCGTTGCCGCCGTCGCTCATAGATGGCGGTAGCTGTCCAGAGTGTTGTGTTTGCTGGTTATCTACTTGCTGCCATCGCTCATAGATCGCGGCAACATTTCTTTGGAGGAAGAAGAGCGGGAACGGAACAAGCAGCGATGTGCGCAGCAGCGCGAATGGTTTCGTAATAAGCGCGAGGTCGCTATCGCCTAAAGTTACACTGTGTTGAGGGCTTCATATTCCCTTGTGAAAGGAAAGCAGATTGCTCGCCTGGAAAGCCACAAAGGCTGAAAGATTTTTCCAATCGTCTACCTTTTGTGGGCACTGTCTAGGCCAGGGGTTTTCAGTTTTCCTTACAGACCATGCAAGCAATACATAACACATATACTAGAGTGTGTATGTCTCAGAGTTATGCGTTAACTGGTTGCATATTCTAAAATCATCTACAGTTAGGAGGACCACTTTACTTAGGGTAAGGAACGGTCAGAAAAGTTTAAGAGTCTGGGGAACCCAGTTTGAGAAACCATGGTCTAGGCCCAAGTAATAAATCATGCATGTTAAATGCCACAGTATCTTTTGATTTATTGGACATGCCTGAGGCCTCTGGCCAGACCCAGTTTCTCGATATGCATTATCTTTTTGCTCACATGGTCAATTGCCCTGGATTTCCGTTTGCTCCCATGAGCCACGGATGTGCAGGTTTGGGGATGAACTCTTATAAAGTGTGAACTCCTTGTCACTTAAGTTAAAAGGAGTTTTCAGACATATTTAGAACTTCTAGGAGCATGTACTGGTCGATTGTGGTGTCCTATGCACGAGAGGATATAAAACTTACAGGAGCTTAAAAATTAAAACAGCGCGAGGACTCTGACAAGAACAAGAAGGAAGACGAACAATGTGCTGGCTTACAACTGAAGTTTATTTGTTAGAACGAATGTTAAAACAAACAAACTTCAGTTGTAAGTCGGCGCCTTGTTCGTCTACCTTCTTGTTTTTGTCCGTGTCCTTATACTGTTTTAATTTTTAATCATGAAATACCAACTAGCCCAAACTTCTACTTTAGTAAGTTACAGGAGCTACAGGTTTTGTCTTTAGAGGCTCCTGCGGAATCTATAACAGTAGTAGTGTGGTAGCTAGCAATGGTAATTGAAAGACAAGGGGACTTTGTGCTTAAGTATCAGCTAGGAGTTATTAGCATGGCCTGTTGTTACTACCAGTTGTAAAAATTGGTTATAAAAATGAGGGGCAGGCATAGCTGAATTCAATCGAATTTAAGGTTGGCTTTACTTGACAAGGAAATGCAACCAGGCCGAATTTTTATCAAAACTTTGCTGAATTCAATCGAATTTAAGGTTGGCTTTACTTGACAAGGAAATGCAAGCAGGCCGAATTTTTATCAAAACTTTGCTTGTCATCTTCAATACGGGGCAATTCCTTAATTAACATTCATTTATAAGTGTGTCTCAAATTTTTACATGTTTTCTCATGTGTTTGTGAAAAGGAAATATAAGGTCCGGACGGTCGGTTTGCTCTAATGTAGCTTTATTGATTCTCTAGCACACATGCCAAAACAACCGAGTCGGTATCTTGTTTAGAACAAATCGGCTTCACTACAAAGGTCCTTTTAATCGTCCGAGAAACAAGAGCCTAAAGGAGAATAAATTTCTCTTTATGATCGATAAATGCGAACGGCCCGCCGTGTGCTATCCGACAAAGAACGAGTAGTAGAATCGGAACTTTTCCAGAAGTAACAGACTCTCAGTTGCTGCTCATACTACTCAGCAAATTCTTCAGCGTCCGTCCGAGCTCGGCGGTTAACGTCACATTTATTTTCGAAAGACGCGCTCGGCACCTTTGCGACCCAACGAGGTAGTCGGCGTCATAGATGCTGGACGGCGTCTGCCGACTCGTTCCCGTTCACTGCGGAGAGGGAATGTCACACAGTGGCTGAGTCCCGGCCCTCTTGGTTCTGACCCTGCTTTCACTGAGTTCCGGGCGCCAGCCTGGTCCCCTGGCTGTAAACACGAGAATTGGGCACGCAGGCGGCTGTCGACTGGCTGTCGGACCGCCACTTCTGCCATCAGAGACGGTGGTCCATACCACTCTGCTTGATGACCTCCAGAATTCGGGTCCACGGGGCCTCCGGGTAGAGCTCTGCTGACAAGAACCAGAAAGCAGTGGGTTATGTGGACGCTCTAAGCTTCCCCCAAGACAGCCAGACAAATGACGTATGCTGGCCATAAGTTGAAACAGCTGAACAAGAAAATAATGCAAAGGATGGAACTTCAAAAAGAATTGACGTGTAGGCTCGCGATTTTTAGAACCAGTTATAGATATGCATGCCACAGATCTCTATATGAAAGCCGTTTACAACTCCCTTTAACGCCGGATTAGAGCGCAGCTCTTGAAGAGGAGGTTGGAAGGGTACTGAGGGATAGGTTGGAAGGGTACTGAGGGATAGGATGGAAGGGTACTGAGGGGTAGGTGACTCCCTGAGGTCACGTGACCTCAGGGGGTGTCACATGACCTCAGGGAGGGGTCACGTGACCTCACGGTTACGCCGACGGCGACGCCTCTCAAGCCGGAAATGGGCACCTAAGAGCTGTGCTTTAAAAGAACACTAAAACACAAATAACAATGCATTAATGATCAAGGCGGCCTTAACATAAAGTGGTGTAGGAACTTACAGAAAGGTTCTCTTGCATGTATTTCTATTTACTCAAAAGCTATGTTGTCTTGATAAGGGCTCGTCATAGTTGCAAAAGATCTGAGTTACTTCGAACATAAATAGCAAAGTATTTTGTGCAACGTTTTCAGGGCCAAGCACGCACTGAATACATAAATATTAATTTAAGCTTTAGCAAAAGTGGGAGCCTTCCGGCATCATGAGTAACAAATATACGGCAAAGTCACCGAGTGCGAAAACTACCATAAATCCTCTACCTTTGTCTTTTTTTTTTAGATGTTTTTTTTTTTTTTTTGTATTGTTTGAGTTAGTGCAGCAGCTCTCCCCATGGTCAGAGAGTGCATAGCGCAGAACAGTCACTGCGTTCAAGTAATCTCTGGTCATCCAGTTTCTCTTCTTTGCTCTTACGTTGGTCGTCGCATTAATCGATAGTGTCAACCACAGTTTCAAGTTCCACTAATCTCCTATTTGAACCACTTCGATTTGGACCTCGAAAAAACAATGAATAATTGCTTGGGCTCCTACTGACTGCATCTTCGAAGTGGCCACGGTCGCCACTATCTTGACTCAGAGGATCAAAAAGCAGAAACTGCCTTTTGGAAGGGACTAAAACGTTTCCGTATTTTGCATGCGTTGAAATTCCTTTTCCTTTAGAGCCATGCTTTTCTTTGTTGTTGTTGTTTTTTGTTTGTTTTAGAGTTCTTTTTGAAATTCCTTTTCTCCCTTAGAGCCATGTTTTTCTTTGTTGTTGTTTTTTGTTTGTTTTTTCCATAGAATATGAAATTTTCAACGATTCGGCAACAATGACCCACCCTCCTTCAAGCTCAGGGCATGGACTCACTCAAACTGATGAACTTAAACTCGCACAATCGCGAACTCGCTCGAACTTATTACTTCCGACTCACGCTCTCTCAAAACTCACGGCCCTCACGTAGTCAGACCCACACTGAGAAGTGACAAACTCACTCAAACTCATTATCTCGGAACTTACTTCAAACGCACGGCCCTCACGAAGTCAGACCCGCACTGAAAAGTGACGAACTCACTCAAACTCGTTAGCTCGGAACTTACTCCAAACTCACGGCCCTCTCGCAGTCAGACCCCCCAATGAGAAGTGACGAACCCACTCAAACTCGTTAGCTTCGACTCGGGCCCTCAAAACTCGCGGCTCTCTCGCGAAGTCGCCGAGAAAGTTTCCGTTACCTCGCTGCTGGGCGTGTCCCCTGCTCTCCCTGGGCGGGCTGTCCTGGGCGCAGAGCATGCCGTACACGCGGATTCCCGGGATGTTGGCGTAGGGCGGCGCCGAGTGCCTCACGGGGCCCAAGAGCCTGGAGCCCGTCGGGCAGCGGCAGATGAGCAGGTAGTGGGCCCGCCCCGTGCGCGTGCTCTGCAGGGCCAGCAGTTGCCAGTCGCGTGGCTCCTTGCAGCGCCGGATGGACAGCACGGGCTCGCACACCTGCGACGAGGCGGACGCCCATCGGCGCGGTTACCCGCTTGCAGCTTTCAGGGTTGGGGTGTGGTACAACCCCCGGAGCAACAATCACGTGCGTTCCCTGTCTCGGGGAGCCTGATTCACTCCAGCACGGTTGATCGAGCAGTGTGTACATGAAAAGATGCTCGAAGCTGGTAGGAAGAACTTAGAAAAGGTCCGGTTAAAGGCGAGCGTGTTGTAATTATAAACACTTGAAATAGGAAGAATAAAAACAAGGAGGGGGTGTTCATAGGGAGTTTTAGTGGAGCTCCGTCGACGCTTTTGCGCGTGCGTCGTATCGTTATCGGAGGTATCGGTAACGATCTACTAAAACTCCCTAATCCGTACCTGAGGCCTGTGGTGCCGCACCGCTACAACAACAACTACTACTACTACTACTACAAAAAAAAAGGGGGGAGGAGGGGGGGGGGGAGGACAACTCTATAATTGCATATCTCAGAGTTGATATGGTCCCTGTCTGCCGTTTATGGGGGACTGACCTTGACGAGGTTGAAGGCCCCGCTCTTGTCTGTGGAGACGAGTTTGATGGTGTGTTCGTCGAGGACCTTGGACTCGGAGCACGGCCTGGAGAAGGCAGAGGGACAGGCGCACAGGGGCTGGCTCCGGTTCAGCCGCACGTACAGGGCGCTGCAGACCTGCTGCGTGGCGCACTCGGGCAGTGGAGGCGCTTTACCACGCCTCTGGAGGGAGTCCTGCAAGGGTGGAGTGAGGGGGACCGGAGTTTGAGAGGCACCGTGGGGACAGCAGCCAACAGATTCAACGTGCCGGCGCATTGATCGGCGAACATGTCCGAGTTTGAGCCATCGCATCTACCGTGACGCTACTCCCAACAAGAACTTACAATCCTTGGTGGGGAGCAGTGGCAGGCAGATAGGCAAAGGTGCCATTTCATTCGTCACGTGGTTTTGATGCATTGTGCGAACACATCCATCGAGCTATACTACGTCCACCCAGTTTGTTCCAGGATAACACCTTTAGGGTGTTGCTGCAACACCCTGGGAGGAGCTGATTCACTCCCTCAAGGGTTGCAAAAAGCAACCTGCGTGGTGTGTAGGTTTCATTTTGACCCGGGAGCGTTTAAGTGAAAGTTTCTAACCTTGAGTGGTTCGTTCCCCACGAAACTAGCTCTGTGTCGCATCGCAGCTTTTAGGTCAAGACAGCACAATATTTACTTTACTTTTTTTTTTACTCGAACACGCAATTCCCTTTCTTTGAGACCATCCCTGCCCTACGGCATCGTCGATTTTTGGAATCTCTCGAGGAACAATTTTACAAATAAGAACTCGTGACTTGATTCTAGGTGTGAGGCAGTTTGAAGGAGTCCTACAAGCAAGAGACCCTTGTCGCAGTCCTCACGCCATTCTTTACCAAACCAGTCCAGAATGATTATATATATATATATAGTTTGAGGAAGACGACAGAAAAAACTAAACCGGCAAATTTTGGTAGAGAGCATGCTCATTACGCTTTATTACGTGTACACAGGCTTCATTTTTAGGCGAAACGGAAAACGCGACGTGTTTACCATACTTGCGGGACTCGAGACAACGACAGAGCACAGGTAATAATTGTCGCATTTCACTTCTACAACGCTAAGAAAAAGAAGAAAAAACGACAACGCGGAAGGAATTAGCAGCGCGCTTTCCCCCCACGGTCTTGGTTTGTCTTTGCGCAGATCGGAAAAGCGTCGTCGTGCGGCGCTGCGGAAGCAGTTGGCTGAGGGGAGGATGTTTGTTGTTTCAAGTTTGTTTGCTCACTCGCTCCAGAACCGTTGTTTCTTTGTTGGGCACGCAGTCCGTTTCGGGTGGCGGATCCTAAGTTTTGTGAAGAGAAAAACAAACAAAACAAAACAAAAACACTAAAAATGGGGTGCAGCTTTGGAATCTGGCGTGTCGTCGGGCGGAGGGGAGAAGGTGACCCGTGGAAAACCGATACGAGGGGCCTCCCATCGGGCTTTGTGGCTCCCGCGACCGACGGACCGTGGCTCTCCCCTCTTTGTTGTCCACGGGGAGATGCCGAGGACGGCGTTGCCGCTGCACGGTGCTAGGCGCGCGCGAGCCCTGCGTGCCTGCCTGCTTTGCGCGCATGCCGTGCGCGCAGGTGCTTTTGCGTGCGGAGGACGCTGTCGCGGACGTTTAGCGAGGCGTGCGTTTTGCTTCCGTGAGGTCCCGCCCAACCTGCTAGCTTTGCCGCCCTTGAAATGAAAGCACTGCACTGTGCTGATTTGGCGCTTTTATGAGAAAAGTGGTATAGTTCTTGCTTTGATTGAAGCCTTTTTCTTGTCACTAACAGTTATTTTTTAAGTAATGGTCTTTTGGTTGATGTCCCCCAAAGACTACGTGAATTAAAAAAAAATAATTGAGTCATTGGTTACGTTACTAGGTCTCCGGTTTCATCTTACAAGCATTCTCTTGCTCGGTGCACTCCCTGGAACACGCGCGAAAAACCGGCGTTAACCGGTTTTTGCGTAGGTGTAACCATACGCGTGCTCCGTCTTTCGTAGCTGCCAGTGTTCGTGCTTTCTAGAGCGTTTACGTTATAAAAGTTTTTTTTTCTTGCGTAACCTTATAATGTCTCCTTATAACTTGTACAATACGCGACACCACCGAGCTCTTGCGCTTGCTAACGAACGACCACACGTTGGGCGCCATATTGCCCACTCGGAGGGTGCGCGTATACTTAGCATACTGCGCTGAATTATTGTGAAGCAAGGGTATCGACAACTCCCTGACTTCACCACTTCAGTCGACACTTCGTCTCCCGCTCCCACTAGCAGACAAACACACGTTATGCGCCATCTTGCGCTACTCGAGGTGCACGTCTGGAGCAGAGTAGAGTATGGACAACTTCCTGATTTAATTTTGTCATTTAAATTTAAGCTTTCCAAGCGCGATCGCTATAATTCGTTTCACCGGGAAGTTGGCAAACAGCGAAAGCTACCGTCCAATGAGCCAATCAAAAGTGCCGACCGGGGTCACGTGACGTCGCGTATCGTTGGAGTGACAGAAAGTTGTCACTCCGATTGGCTCGAAGGGGCTCTAATTCTTTGCCGAGTTACGCTGAAACTAAGCATAGTAGGCCACCACACTTTGGGCGCCATTTTTACTGTATACCCGAAGCGTGCACGTGTAACTTGCTGTGCAGTTTAGTGAGACAATGTAGTTTGCCTTTTCGATCCGAACTCTACCTTACGGGCGCACGCTCGAAGGTGAAAACAACTTGGGCGTCCCCTTGCCCTATTCCAAACGTTTCCGCCCTTAAAGGCTGGTCCAGACACTTGGTTTGGGTTGTAACCCAGTGCGTTGCGCAGCCTCGTGATCGCTTACGACGGATGGATGGATGGATGAATACGGCTGAGCCCTTTGGATCGGGCGGTAGCTTACGCCACCTAGCCACAACGAGACAATACACTGGCGCCATCTATGGGTAGGCCTCGAAGGTTTTGCAGTATTTTCGGGATCAAATATACGTGCAATCTGTGAGAAATAGTCGTTCATAACAGTGACATTGGGTTTTTCAAGCCCACGGTGAAAGTATTATGCGTAAGTTGATATATACGCAGGCCTTATGTTCCGGATTACGCGATAGACGGTGGTGCAAGTCTGACCTCTCGTCGTAAGTAGGGGTGTCGCGAACTTTTGTCGAACCTCGATTTTCACGTCGAACCTCAAGGTTCGACTGTGTCGCCGAACCTTCGACCTTCCACTAAAGTCGAAGAAGTTTCGACTTATGGACAGTTTTGCCCGGCTTCTATACGAATATTTCGAATTTTGGGGAATAAATAATTTAGAAAGTAGTTTATTTTATATCCTATCGAATGATTACCAATGTTTACAGTATATAAAAGTGAAAATATGCGCTTTCAATGCTTCTGTTATTTAGTAATGTGAACCAGGGATGCCAATACACTTAAAAAATATTGCACTTTTCCTCCGCCAGGTAACAAATATTGCACTTTTCCTCCACCAGGTAACAAATATTGCACTTCTCCTCCGCCGGGTGAAGTCAAGTGTATCTTTAATTTTCGCTTGCGCACAAAAGTCGACCTTTAGTCGAACTTTTGTCGAACATTACGTTGAAAGGTCGAAAAAGTCGAACTTGGTCGAACTCAAACCTGGGCAGGTTCGCGACATAGTTACGAGCGTGCACAAAGCACTTGAGCTCACTAAAACGTAAATGTGTGGACCATGCCTTAAAGCACAGCAGAGTACTAACAACCCTGAATCGTCTATGCGATGGGGATGCCTGGTGACAATTAGCGCGAGAAAATTGGCTTAGAAGGGCGGGAGGAATCAGATGTTTGCCTTCTTAGACTTGGGCTAGGTGGCGCAAGCTGGCGCCCGTTACAGATGGTGTGGACATTAACATCTATCCATTCATCCGGGCGCCATTTTGCGTCACTTGGAGCGTGCGCCTGCTTACCCAGCTGGGCGTGAAAGAGAGCACACAGTGCTGTCAGACTATACCTCGATCGAGGATAAACGATATTAAACTGGGCTATTCGGGCCGTCGGCCATCCGCGAAGCTATCCGGCGGCGGAGCGGACGTCAGAATTCGGGTAATTGGTTTGGTGTTGATAAGCGAAACCCGTTGCCATGCCATGGAAAACAGGAGAGTGCCCCGTCGCACTACGTCGCACGTGGAGAAGCTCTATCCCAGGGCAGTAGTGGGGTTGCTGAACGAGGGCGGGTGTGTTCGCTTGGTGGGATCGGTGTGATCAAAGACCGGACTCAATGGGCAAGTTGGTGGAAAGGCGAGCTCGCTTTCCGGCAGCTGTTATATCAAAACAAACAGAGCTGAACTTGACCTTCTTTTTTTTTTTTTTTTTTTGCCAAATTGGCGTTTAAATGGGAAGCTTTAGTGTTGGCGTTGCCGGTCGTGACCCGCTTTACGAGACGGATGTCGAGCGTTGTTTCTTTCTGTCTTGTCTATTTTGAAGAGTGCAAACGGCAAAAATGCTGTTTATTTTTTTTTTTTTTGCTAGATTATGAATTGAGTGGTATTTGTTCAAAAATTTCGTCAAGGTGTTTTTTTGTTTTTGTTTTTGTTTTCTTAAGTCGAGACAACTGCTATTCGTGTGCAGTAGGTTTGTTTTCACGGCCGCTGATTTGCTTCAATACTGGCTCAACATACCAATAGAGGCGGCTAAACAACTGAAATACTATGTTAAAATTGTTGTTCGCGAAGTTGATAAGTTAAACTTTCAAATTCAACCTTAACTTCTTTTTTATTGGTAGGCACTTTTTTATGATTATTGTCAGTAGAACACGTTTTTATTACCCTCACCTTCTCTTTCTTTTTACGGTAGGCACGTTTTTTTTAATTGTTATTATTTTTAGAACACGTTTTTATTACAAGAAGATGGATGGTTCGAAATTAATGTTGTAGAAGATAAATTACAAAATCGCTTCGCAGGTCCATACAAACACCTGTTTGTCACGATTGAAATCCGCTTTAAGTAAACCAATCGTTGGTTCTTAAATTTAAAAGAAAAAAAAACAGAGTTAGCAATTTTAACATTATTTTTCATTGTGTGAGGGGGCATCTTAAGCAATTTTAACATTATTTTTCATTGTGTAAGGGGGCATCTTAACCGAGTTGTGTCTAAATTTTATTATTCCTGCTCAAAATCGTACTTCTAAAGTTCCAATCGTCGTATACGTTGGCCGTGTATAGATATCTGGTGGAAGGTGATATAACAGTGCATTACATCAACTCAACTTTCCGACGTCACGCGACCGAGGTGGCGCTGCAGTCGGCACTGAGCATGCGCAAACACTCGATCTCACTCTCATCTATAATTTCTGCAGATGGGTCAGAGTTCCTCGTGTGGACGAGCGTGGAGACTGCTTTGTCCACAGCGCGTTTGCGTACGGGAATCGGAAATCAGTTCGATATATGCGGTATTTCGTTATAACCGACTTCGGTTATAACGAAGTGTAAAAAGGAACGGGAAATCGTGATCGCTTCGCTGTAGCCGCTATTTCGTTATAACCGGCTTTGTTATATCCGGTCTCGACAGGTAAAAAGGCACGAACTGTCGCGCAGTATGTATAGTCTTCAACAGCGTGAAAGGCAAGTTGGTCGTTCAGGCGGCAGCGCCGCATTCGTTTTGGACAATTGGCCACCGTGGGCCAGGCGCACATTTCTTCGGGTCAGGAAACAAAAACACCCGTGCTCTTCTCTCTCTCTGAAAATAAAGTCTCTCTGGCCAAAGTGCTGCCACATAAACTGCTTCGGCGAATGGACTTTTCTATTGTAGGCGACACGTCCGGGGGGAGGACAATGTACGAAACTTATGGAGGTAGCGTGTACACGGATTGCGGCGCGATTAGCGCGAACAAGTATACGTATCACCAGTTTTTGTTTTGCTTCGAGACAATTAAACACTGTCATCAAAAACATGTGTGATGGAGAGGGCACATTTGAGGCACTAACTAGACGATGATATGTGAATAATGTCTTCGAGGAAAATTCGAGAGATGGAGAGGAGAAATAAACGAAGATTGTTGAGAAAAAGCACCGATGTCCTGTTGGCACCATAGAGTTCATGTATACTAAGTTTAGAGGAAAAGGTCCGCCATTTTCCCATGCATTCTGGCTGCCGCAAGCGGCGGAGCATGGAGGCAGACCTTTGGAGTCCCACACATGGTTATCAACTACCTTCGATTTCACGCAAATAATTACAATCATTAGAGCAGTTTCATGAACTTCAACAATCCACGTGCCTACCGGTGGAAAGATGTTCGCGTTCCTTTCGAAGCTTTCTTTTTGCATAGCGCTTAAGTGTACGGCCTCGCGTCAACGCCAAACTAAACCAGATAAGCAGCTTCGCGCTATGCATGGTTTTGGTAGGCGCGCTCCGGGAAAACGAAACCGCCTAACCACCAGATTTCCGAGATTTCGACAGAAGGGAAGTTAGTGCAGCGTAAGGAGTATATTACATTTTGTAAATGTTAGAATAGTTCAGAATTTAGTTTACAGCGTTAAATTATCCCTGTTTATTTTGCTGAGAGTTTTCGGTCTTCGCGATTACCATTGCGACTGTCGTCCTTCAGCTAACAACATTGGTTTCTTTCTCCCGTGTTCTATCGCGCTCTTTCACTCGGGACTCCAGATGTCGGCGCACAGGTTTTGCCACTGCCGCGATGTGCGACGTTGGCGAATCTTTTTTTTTTTTTTTTTTTTTTGTATTTTGCGGTCAGTGATTTGATTTTACCGGTCAGTGACTCGAATAAGCATGAATAACCTGACGCTAGTAGTCTTTGGTAGCCTTCCAATTGTAAGCGAAAGAAAACCGACGATCGCACGTTCGTGCTGTGTCGCGCTTGGCATGTCAGGAGTGGAGAGCAATGGAGATGGATGGATGGATGGATGATAATGGCTATACCCTTTGTAACGGGCGCCAGCTTGCGCCATCTATAGCCTAACATTTCGTCATCCCTTCTTTTTTTTTAATTTGTATAAATTTTGCTCTAACGCAACCCTCCCCCCCCCCTTTTTTTTAAGTGTTCCCATCGCTTATTTTTATCTATTTTCACCCCTCCCTAGATCTTTTTCACCAATCTTCCAATCTCCTGTATAGTTACCGCAATGCTTCCCCTATCCATTCGTCCATCCATCTCCGCAAATCCCAGTGTCCCTTCGAAATCCGTAGTCATATACCCCCAAAAGAGGGTGGGACGAAGCCCCGTGCACCTTAAAATTACATGTTCTATAGTTTCCCTTTCGCGGTTGCATACGTCACATAGAGTGTCTATGTCCTGAAATTTAGCCCTTTATGTTTTCGTTCTTAGCGCCCCCGTTCTAGCTTCAAACAGCACTGAGCTCCCCGATGAATTATCGTACAACTGTTCCTTCTTTATTTCTTGTTTTTGTGCTCTGTATATTGTTAAAGCCGATTTCCCCTGCACTCTCTCTTACCTAAATTTTCTCTCGCGGTTTCCTTTACTGCCCTTTGTACTGGTATACCCTGATCGGCCCCATTTCCTTGAATGTATGTAAATCTTAGCTTGCGGGTTCGGTTGGTCCACTTAGTGTTTAGACTTTTCATATCCCTACCGAAAAATCCGGTATAGCTTTGCGCTACCCGGATTATGGACCCGAAAAACTATCTGGAATTTAGGTTTTCAGAAATTATTCCTTTGTCTGCGATCTTGATTTCGGGTTTCCAGAAACAAATTTCCGGTTCCATAATCGGGATAGTGAAAAGTTATACCGGATTTTTCTGTAGGGATATAGGTACTTGCGCGTACACTTTCCCTGCCCACCCGTGTATCCTCAATTTCAGCTAGTCTTTGTTCAAATATTGCTTTACTGATCGCTTCTCTACTCTCGAAAGATTCCCAACCGCGATATCCCCCCTGTATACTCCCTCATTTGGTGTATTCCCATGTGCCCCCAATGGCAACCTAAACACACTCCTTTGCTGTATCTCTGAACCTGCCTGGATCTCTGACCTCATACACAATACCGCATTCCCAAATGACAGTCCTGGCATCATGACTCCCTTCCATACACCCCTAACGACTTCGTATCTATTATAGTTCCATAGTGCCCAGTGTTTCATGACAGCCGAATCTCATTTCCCCTTCTTTATTACAATATCTTCATGGTCTTTTAGATACCGTCTTCCTTCACTTAACCATACTCCCAGATATTTTGTACTTTTCTACGTGTTCTATCAATGTGTCCTGTATCTCCAGGGGCTCCCCCTTCTCGTCGTTGTAAGCTATTATACCCCACGTATCCCTACTGATTTTTAGGCCTAAACTGTCCCCTTCCCTGATGCAAATCCTAATTAGTTTCTGTGTTGTCTCACGACTTTCTGATACGAGTACAATGCCGTCTCCATACATTAACCCTAGCAATAGTTGATTTACTTTATGTCCTTCTTCCATGTAAGTCAAGTTAAAACCTAGGTTGCACCGCTCTAATCTTTTTTTCCATCTCACTGAGATATATCAAGTACCTTTGACGTGCAGGGTTGTTGTTTTTTCTTCAGTTGGTCCATAACGTTTTTGAGGTACTTGTTTTAGTATTTGTTTAGCACTAGAGCCAAGTTTTTGGGGGCCAAGGGAGCCGCCAGGAAAGAGGCGAATCAATTAGTTGTTAGCTAATTATCTAAAAGATGCTAATTAACTTGTTTGCATTTTTTTATGCATAATGCAATTGGAGGATCGACGCCCGACTTGAATACGGTCAAGGCGTGGCGTGAAAGTTTTATTTAAAAAATTCGACGCTACGGGGCGTAAAATGTCACGTCTGCACAAGGCTTCAAACCGAAACTAAGCGAGCAAAGCACCAACCGCGCGTGTTCGCACGGATCGTGCTTTGGCGACACGTGGAGTCGCCCAACACGACGCCCCATTCTCGAGGTCGCCGCAGGAAAGAAAGCGACGAGGCGACGTTTCGAAAAGACGCGGCTGCCCGTACAGGAAAAACGGATAATATTAATGCTTTTTTTTTATATTACAGTGGTGCACGCGGTATGCTGGCATGAGTTACACTTCGTATGACATTTCTTTTAGCACATACTGTGTTTTATCGACCGAATTCGGGAAAAAGACCGGCACGTTCATCCGTCAGGTCCCAGCGTTACTCGACGTTTGAAGACATGTAGTAAGTGTATGAGATCAGAGGGCCCATTTAAAGCGAACATAAGGACACCCCCGACGGCAATCGATCCCGCGATCAAGTGCTTGTTAGCCGGATATATCGCACCAATTGAGCTAAGCGGCGCAGGTATTCAAAGAGCCAGGTGTGCGGGGGCTCGGCACGTTCTATGCTACCGGTCTTCGTCAGCATGATCAAGGCTTTGTACTATGTTTGACACTGAAAGTTTTTTCGGGTCACTGTAATGACCGTGGGGGACAGGTGAGGTCCCTGTCGATGGTACGTCGGCTGACTTCGGGCGGGCGGTGTTGACGAGGGCGTGTCCCGATGAGGACGATGGCGAACGAGGAAGCCGGTAGTTCGTGTCGAGAGAGCCAATCATCGGCCGCACTGAACCGAAAACGAAAGCGGCGGCTGCGGCCCGCTCACCTGCGGAGGCGTCCGGCTGGCCTTGGCCCCGGTCAGCTTGGCCCCTGCCGGACACAGCAGCACCGTCAGCAGCAACGAGCACGGGCCGACTAGGAGCCAGTGCGTGAGGTGCATAGCCGTCACAGCGTCATGCGAACGGCGAGTTTAAAATCCCCGGCGGCACCGCCACCAGCAAAACACGGGACAGCGACGCGCTCCGCAAGGCGGCACTCTGCTTTTTGAAGCGAATCTCCGCGCGCCACCCGCTTTTGCGGACGGCGGCGCTGGCGTCGCGGCGGCCGTCGAGCAGGGAGCCCAGATTTGAGAGAGAGAGCAACTCCAAACTGTTTTGCAATTTAATGGCGCATGCTTTCTGCACGGATTGGTCCGGAGACGCTTGCTTGAAAGTTGCCTCTCGAAGCTCGTATTGCAAAACGCGGTTCATAAAACATTATTGTAATTCTGTTCTTTATTGTTATACACACATCTGGCGTTCCTTTGTTCTTTCATTTTATTAATATTGGTAGTAGCGCGTAATGAGTGCTTCGCACGTATTCTCCTTTTATCGTCTTCTGCCTCGCCTCCTTCCTATTGTAATGCCCTGCTGGGCCTTTGAGGGTGCGAGAAAGATCGAGCAATTGGAGACACTAAAATGGAGGCACACTACGGTCACGTGACTCGCGTCACGTGACCCGTCGGCGCGGGAAAAAGAGCGTCGCCTGCTATCAGCGTTGCCTGCGGTTGTTGAACGAAAGCAGGGTCATACCGACGACATGCTCGCGTACGAAAGCAGAGCGTCACCCGAATCTGGGGCTTTGCATAGTGGCGTGCATTGTGCGACGACGCTCGATTGTTCGAGTTGCCTCACTCGAGGATGCTTGTTTCGGAGGGGAGTGACTGACTGCCTCGCGATGTAAATCAGGGCACCCGCGACGCGTTCGGGGCCACATTTTGGGGATGCCCCCCTTAGGGCCGTATATAGCTAAACAACAGAACGGCTTTAATTGGGCCTAGAAGGCACAATGGACCGCTGCTTTTTCGCGCGGGGACGTCCCGTTTGCCTCGATTAGGGGGAAGACCATTGTGTGTACCGTTGTGGCCTCGAAAAAAACGAGTTGGGAACGCGAAGCCATATCGACAGTGGAGAAATGACCGCCGCTCGAGTAGTGCTCGGCCGCTGCTTCACTGGGGAAGTGTGTCTCGTGGGTCGACTATAGCCTCGGTCCCGTGTTGACTCGTCCCTCGGTCGCCCATTGTTTTGCGGGGAAAGGGAGGAAAGTACTGCTTGTTTTCGTTAATCGTTTCGGAAGAAGAGAGGCCCACAGCTACGGCGTACCAAACGGCGGGTCCGTTGTTTGCTCGTAACAATGTATATGAATGGACAGATTGAGAATAAGAATTCCTTTTTTATGTTTCCCTCCCCTACCGGTGCAGGCCTGTTGCTCTTGGTAGTACTCGCACTGAAGCACTGGAGACGCTTTGTGGAACATCTCGATGGATTTCTTGATAGAACTTTGACGGAGTCTCCTGGTGGCAGTTAAATTTTTTCTATAGTACGTTTTATGGCCTCCCAGGCGCTTACATCGTTTCGGGTGTTGTTTAATGTATACTCTTTTATGTTCTTTTCCTATGTTGTTCCAGTTATATACCTCGATCATAATGCCTGGTCTGTTTTCCAGTTGACTGTTCAGTAGCCCCTGAGGCTATAGCAGCCAACCAGAAGTGGCGTTCAAATTAAAAGCGCGCCACGGAGGTTTTTGGCTTTTCTTGGCTACCACTTAATCTTCCCGCGGTGTGCCCGTGGTCTTGAGCGGACTGCGGCATCCCTACGTACCGTACGATTACCCTGCAGGTACCGTACGGGGCGGTAAAAAAGCTCGCTTCGACGGAGAAAAGAATCGAACAATCAGTCTCGATGCATTCTTTCTGCGGTCTTGAAGCCTTTTGCGTAACAGGGCAGCTTACGGTATCCCAACTTACCGTAAGGTCACCTCGGGTACCGTATGCGGCGGTGTGACACCCAAAGTTGCGGTGAAAAGCTCGCTTCGAAAGAGAAAAAGATGGAAACAGTCGGTCTTAATGCGTTCTTTCTGCGGTATTGATGCGTTCTTGCGTAACAGCGCAGCTTACGGTGTCCCAACTTACCGTATTATAACCTCAGATACCGTAGGGTACGGTGTGACACCTAAAGTTTCGGTAAAAAGCTCGCTTCGAAAGAGAAAAAGAAGGAAACACTCGGTCTGAATGCGTTCTTCCTACAGTCTCGATACGTAACAGAGCAGCTTACGGTATCCCAACTTACCGTACCATAACTTCAGATATCTGTACTATGGGGACGGTGTGACGCCCGAAGTTGCAGTACAGAGCTCGCTAGCTACGAAAGAGAAAATAAGCAAACGCTCAGTCTATATAGATGCGTTCCTGCGTAGCAGAGTGGCTTACGGTATCCCCACGTACCGTACCGTAACCTCGGGTACCGTACGGTACGGTTTGATACCCAGAGTTGCGGTGAAAAAGCTCGTTTCGAAAGAGAAAAGAAGCAAGCGGTCGGTTGACCCCAGGAGTCTCTTTTCTTTCACGGTAATCCCTTGGGATCATCCGGTCCACCAGATCCCGAACGCTGCCCTTTTCCACGTAAACGATCTTGTTTTGTTTATTTTTTCTTGTTTTCTATGGATTACGCAAATTCAACGGGAAAGTTGTTTTCGTTTGTCTTTTTCTTTTAAACCGACTCGTGTCCTTCTCTCCACTGCGTTTCACCTTAGGGTGGACCGCAGGGAACGCTAGGGGCCGTGCCAGCCAATCCGATGTCTTGTGAGTGCCACGTGACCTACCAGGGGGAGCGCGGCGACGCGCGCGTAGTCACATCGTACAGTCGGCGGCACTATGAGCTGACCCACTTGAGTGGTAGCCGGAAGGAAGGAAACAGATAACGCACAGGGTGCGTCGGTCATGCTACGCAACGACATCAACAACCACATTGTGATACTCCAGTTTTTTTTTTAAATCGCCGGTTTGAGGAGTTTAGGCAGAAAACGCGTGTGCAACACCACGAGGTCCGGCACGAGGTTCTCACTTGGAAGCCTAGTCGTGGTCGCTGAGAGTTCGGGAACCCGAAACGTGCGTTGCCATTTCGGAACCTCTGGAACACTGATACGAAGGGAAAAAAAAAGGTGGATAGAAAATGGGGTGGCTCCCCAGCGTATGTATGGTCTCCTTCTGCCACCCCGCGGCCCGAACGCCGATGGGCCCTCGGCTCGTGTTCTTCATAGCTCTGCATTGACTGGGTTTGACTCGCCGCCAGGCCGTGCTCCATCGACGTGAGTCCCTTTTTGTGTCGTGGCCGATTGGCGTCGCCCGCGGTCGCGGTGTGGTGGAATGCATCCCAGTCGCGGTGGTGGCCGGCGGACCGTTGCGGCCATACTGTCGGTGCCGTTTGGATGGCTCGGGTTTCCTCGTTGTGCGGACGACCGTCCCGGCGGCTCTCGCCCGTGGGATCGTGGAGTAGAAAGTGCCGCTATGTACACTCTTTCCTACTTTTGTTGTTGGCTCATTCCGCGCGCGACCGCACGGTATCCACCGCAGGTCGTCTGCTAGCTGTGGCACGGTGGGGTTTGATGTTATCACTTGTCTGCTTTTTTAGAGAGTGTTTGGAAGGGTGTAGTCGGTTTTCGATGCCCGTAGACCGTGTGCCCTCTCCCTGGCATCTGTTCACGCGCAGTCAGCTTCGTTTATCTAATAAGGGTTCAGTTCTATTAGTGATTTTAACGCAGTGGTATAGGGATACGTGTAAGGTTACAAAGCAGTCACAAAAACCGTCGTACGACCGCTAATATGTTGACGTCCCGCTAAGTTTAGCGAGCCCCGCTAACTAAGTATAATTGAATGATAATTAATTCGTTCTAGGGAGGTAAATGAACGCGTCCGTCCGCCGCACACGCTGTTAAATCCTACTCTCTTTGTAGGATTAAAGGGGTACTGACACCCCCAAATAAATTGTTATAATTTTTTTTTTTTGCTAGGCGAGATAATCCTGGTGGCGGGACAGTATACCTAATCAATGTTTTGCTTCTGAGTCACGTATCGTTTTAATAAAGCAAAAAAAAAATACTCCTAAACCGAAACTGAAACATGAGCACGGAGACTCATGGCTGACCAGCGTATCGAAGAGGAGGAGAGAGTTACCGGAAGTCACGTGGCTATCGCTCCCGAGAGTTTGTAGTGTCCAACTGCTTTATGGGCCGCGCTTGCAACAAGAACTGCGAAGAGTTGTCGAATGCGTTGACCGTCTGCAAATGCCTCCGCCTTTCCGCCTGCTTTTGTCCTCGCCACGCGAAAAGGCAGCGCGTGCGCACTTGCGACCGTTTGTCGCGCGATTGTTCACGTCCGTCACAATGTTGGTCCGTCGTGCGCTGCCATCGCGTCGTCCGGCCTGCGGTACTTCGCCATATTGATTGATTGATTGGGGTTTCATGGCGCAAGGGCTACTAAGGCCAAAATGCGCCAAGATCGCCATATTGAGCATGACGTAGTACACGTACTTCCTGTAACCTGTGCAACATTTTTTTTTTCAACCAACGTTTTCGCAGTTTTTCGAAAGCCACAAATATATATATATATATAAGTACTAGACGTGTGCCTTTCACGACTTTTAATATATTTGGTACGCTAGTTTGAACGGCACGTGACCATGAAAAAGAGAGTGAGTGCGCCTCAAACCGGCTAGTTCTCGATCGGCGGGTTTCGGGCGGAAAGAAACCGAATTTCGATTCGCAAATTGCTTTCTGGGTAGTTCGGCCAGTCATGTTCAAATGAAAGCGTCGGCGGGCATAAACGCCCTGTCAGCGTTCCTTTAAGATACATTAAATCTTTCTCTTTTTTACGGTCTACTTTTTGTTGGGAATTCGTTACCTGTTGGCGGGGTGTGCCGTGGCGCCCCGTTTAACAGAGCATTATGACTTCCATCCCAACTCATTGGCAGAATGAGAGCGGCAGGGCGTGTCGTGGGAAAGCCCGCGGCCATAGCCTCCTCTATACTCACAAAGCCTGGCAGTTCGACGACGGAGCCATAGAGTGCCCGGTCGCAGATTCGGAGCGCGAGGATCTGGGAGCACACAGCATCAAAGAGCCATTTCTCGGGGTTCCTGGACCTCAGCGCGCAGCTTTTGCAGCGGCGAGGACCCGAAACACACTTGTTCGCTCGGGAGAAGGGTGTTTCGGCGTCTCGCCGCAGCGGGGCGC